GTACAGTACAATATCTTTGCTACTGGCTTCTTGGTATTTTTTGCTCTAAACCAAACTTCTTAAACGTTCATATTGTGTTCAGAAATTCGCAATAGCTTTGTGCAATACTGCAATCCAATCGTTTGATTCTAACGTAAATAAGAACTGTTATCTAATATATAATTATATATATATGTTCGTGGCCCGCAATGAATTTCCTTATGTGGAAGTGGCCCGCGCACTAAAAAGGTTGGACATGCCTGGAGTAGACAGATATATACATCCGATTGACATGAACTAATACAACAAATGCTAATAAGTACGTCTGTACAGTATATATAGGGCAGTAAGCCGAGGATAGAAAGGTTGAGGATGATAAGCTAGTGGGGAAAACAGTGGATCAAGGTTAGGAACGTTAAGGGAGATAGGACAACATGACGAGAATAGGAAGGTTGAGGAATATAGGGCAGTGGGTTGAGGACAGGAAGGTTGAAGTTCATATTGCAGTGGATCGACGACAGGAAGGTTAAGACAGATAAGGCAGTGGGTCGAGGGTTGCAATTTCGGCGGTCGCTCAGACACTTCTATGAATCAGACAGATATTCAAGTGAGGTTGTACACATTGCCTCGTTTTCGTAGTTCCTCCGGGGATCTCTACTTTAATTGTAGTTGTCACAAATAAGGCTCGCAGACTATGCGGTATATATCGACTAGGCTAAAATTAGCTATCAGTGTTTAAAACGGATAATTTTGATACAAAATTTGGTTTCAGACATGTAACCCAGTTTATAAGAGCTAACACTACAAAACACAAAATAGGCGTAATAAGTGTAAGGAGAAATTTTCTGGCGCCAAAGTTCGAGGAAACGTTCATACCTTATCATTATAATATTTTCCATGCATATTTTGAAAAGGGTTTTCAAGTTTCGGCGTGTGCCGACAGGTTGAATGTTTCAAAAACACCATTTTATTTAAAATTAATCAAACAGCTGTTTTTAAAAAGTAGGCCTAAAGACAACTGATTTTAGCGTCATCTATTTTAGCAATTCATTTTATTTATGATAATATTTTGGAAATATATTCAAAACCTAAAACTACATAAACGAGGCAAGGCTTACTATCGCGCTTGAAAATATGCCTGGTCTGCTGGAAAAATTTTGATTGTTACGTGACTACGAACTATATATATTCGAATATATTTTCTTGGATTAGTTGTGTTCTGGTTGTTACGATTTTTTCAGCTCATCACTGTACACACCCACTGATATTTCAAAGAATCCTCGGTATTACATAGGGTCATGTAAAAACATGCTGCTGATGTTCTGTTGAATACAATTTTCTTTGCCCTTTGTGCCAAAGTGCTACCTTTGTTGAATATATTCGAGAAACCGATGTTGATTTTCTATAATTTGATGTTAAAAATGAAGAAAATAAGTGAATACTATAAATTATAGATACACCAATTTATACAAAGTGAATACTGGAAGATTTCTCAAATACGAAAGAATCAGCAATATATTCAAAATTTGATACATGTTTTCAGTGGCGGCGCGTGGTCATTTTGACAACCGGGGCAAGCTACTGCGGGACCAAGTCACCCCCATCTACGAGGACAGGATGAGCGCTGTAAGTTCTCCCATCATTTTATAAGTATAAAAACCATTCCATCGGTAACAACCAATCGACAAAAGCGACAATTTTTAACGATAAAAAAGTGTCTTTAAAACCGGTCCAAGTCAAGGGATTAATAAATATAGACATAGTTTATTTTGAAACCTCTTTCAAAAGGAAAGGCAATATTTACCCAGATAAATACAATGACATATTAACAGAAACTTCGGGAAAGGAGACAAAACCTAAAATAAGGTTTAAAACGTTACTATGAAGAAAGGAAAGTTAATGCAAAGATAAGGACATGCGTCGCTCACTCATAGATATATATGCTGCTAGACTTCTACTGCTTGAACATATATGCAACACGCCGCGGTTTCTTGGAAGCAAAATGCTCAATAACGCGCTGATTAAAGTCATGCATCCCAGAAATAACGTCTCTGTGAATGGATAAAACAGCCAAGGAATTTAATCTATCTTGCTTCATTGTGTTTCTGAGATATGTTTTAATACGCTTCAGCGTGCTGAATGTTCGCTCTGCGTCGGCGGAAGAAATAGGCGTCGTCAAAATGATGTCCAGAAATTTTGCAGACGCCGCAAAGGTAAATACTAGAGTGTTATCTATGAGGAACCCATAGAGCGCGCAAGTTGATGTGATGTTCAAAAAAGTTTGATTGGTGTATATACATCGCAATTCATTTTCCAATTTACCCACGTTTATCATGGGGTAAAATTTGGAGACAGTAGCCAACAAATGGATGGGAAATTGACGTGCAAACTTTGAAAATTTTTTGGGGTTCATCAAAGAGAACGCGGCAAGGTGTTCAGTGCGCAGACGATCGCCTATTTGATTCACCAGAATGTCACAGCATTCCTTTGCAGACAAAATTAAACCTCGATTTTCCACATTCCTTTTGAGCTTCTCACTTCTTTCCGGCTTCGCATTTCTTAGCCTTAGACCTCATAATGAATAAGGTTGATGCACTACTTCGCACTCCGTTTTCGCAGCTGCCGCTGGAACAAAAATCTCTAAAGGTCTCTAACTGATTCAAATAGCAAAACAAGCGACAAAAACGAAGGCGAAGAAACTATCAACTCTTCAGGCAACCAACGAACGAGAAGGAATGCGTGAATATGTCAACACGTTGTTGTAAGAAACGTCGGCATTGTGACGTCATAATTTCGGGGCTAGCCCCGATGATTTAGTAAAAGAAACAGTAAACAAACGAGACAAACGCGGCGAGTGGAAGATAAAAGAGAGAATACGATATACAATGAGCAACCGGGGCAAAATCGGCGTCGCCCCGTCGACGTTCGGCGAAGGCTTTGCGAGCGAAAAATGAACCATGTCGGGAAAATATGGCTAGTGTAGACAGTCTGTGCATCCGATATTGAGGTATTTTTTGACTATTTTTTATTATACCGAAAAAACAACCGGGGCATTGCCCCGGTTGGCCCTATTGACGCGCCGTCACTGCAGGTTTTCGAGATTTAATCACGAGGCGCTCCAGAAGTATGTGTACCAATATGGAGGTAACTAATTTTGTTCGTCTACTTAACATCAAGTTGTGTGAAGAGACGGAAGCCTATGTGTAGGGGGTATATTCACTTGACTAACACAAATAGTCCCCGAACTCGTAATTGAACTAGAATAAGGAGAATCGAAATAAAATTCTGGCCCAACCCTAACCCGGTACACCTATTACGTGAGTATCATGGTAATGAATGAAAATCCAGTGTGGTGCGCAATTAATTATTGTTTTGCTGTATTATAAGAATATGTTTATTTCGCATTCATATTCACCATAATAGACGACAAAAACAAAACAAATAAAACTGATTTTAGAATCGGGAAAGCAATAAAACCTCAAGTAAGGTTTGAAACGTACAGATTTTAGATGGAAAGGTATTGATAAAAGAAGTAGTAGGTTGTCGCTCACCCTAAAGTAATATATATCATATAGGAAGATGTTAATGAAAATGTGCGCACTTTCTACCCGTTTCACGTAGATATAAAAATCTGTTGACTTCTGTTAAGATTTTTATAGGATATTGGGTCCTGGTTATCTCGAGTAAGATTCAAATTCCACCACCAGGGGGCATGAAGGGTCAGAATAATTTCAGCGAAAAACTGCTGTTCCGGGTTTTGTTGACTGAGATAAAGGAAGATTTTCATATCTACCTCAGTGCCGGTATCTCGAGAGAGAAAAGTCGATTAGAAAAGGTACCAGTGGCGGTACAGCGCTGCAATGTAGGCCTATTGGAATTGTTGAATTTGTTCTTAATTCAGTAATCAACTTAACTTTATTTTGGCTCTATAGTATGATCAGCATAAAAGTCGATACGGTAAAATAATTGATGAAAACAGAAAATGTGCACTGACACCTGGCATTCATGGATAATACCGCCACCGGTAGCCTAGGACTAGCCTATACGGTACCGGTAACATATTATGTTGATATGTGAGAAATGTTAGCCAGTTCTGCAGTTAAGCATAAAATATGGAATAATATTTTTTCATTGTCAATGCATAATACTGTAATACGCACCCTCCAAAGACAAATTTTGATCTTGAAAGTGCTTATTACCGGTATACCGTGCAGGTGGAAATATGGTAGGATATTTGAAAATTGCAATTGAAGTTAGGTTTAAAGTCGGCAGTACAGGGAATGACCACAATATACTGATGGACAAATTTCATCATAGCCTCAAACAGTCATAATAATAGACAGTATAGAATTGAAAATCAATCAGTTATCGAGTTTGTTTTCAAGATAGCCTATATGTATTTCAGTATTTCATATAAACAGGCATGCTTTGTTTTAATACAAAATGCTCCTAACTATTCGTTATTGTGGCATGTGGCATTTTTGGCGGTGACGTTTTAAGACAATACGGGTGTTATTTCGATCTTTTTACATTGAAATTTTACATCACTTTTTTGTTGGGTGTTATTTGAGCAGTTACGACGTTCATTTTACATCACAATTTTGTTAGGCGTTATTTAAGCAGTTGCGGCGTTTACTTCACTAGCCCCAATTTTTCTTAGAGGTGCTTCAAAATGTAACCATATTTCATGAGATATCTGCATCATTAACTAATTCATTAATCATCAATTGCAACATTTCTACTTCTGTACTTGTATGCAGACACGATTTAGCATTAACCATAGATTGTTAACTCATTAGTATTCTTTTTATTATATGATTCCCCCAATTTTGGACTTTAAATTTGATTGTAAAATTGCATCATATTGCAGACAGAAAAATATGGCAATTTGAAATCAAATCTGAAACTTGAAAATGATAATTAAATCTAATATATAAGATAATGTAAAGATATAATATTAGTAATATTATGTATTTCTATATTTAGATGTGAGATAATAATATAACTCTGGTTTGTCTGTATGTTGTTATGAAATAGATTTATTGTAAGGCATTTTGAACCTAATAACAAACAATGGATACAGACTTTGATGAGTCTATGGATGCCTTCAAGGAGTCTCCTGGATTTACAAACAAAAAAATAATTGCACACAAGAAGATAGTTTCTGCGAAAAGATCAACAAAAACTGGTAAACAATCAATGAAACAGGCAGGAAACAAAAGTATGCAGAAAAAATTGCCAAGCGTGGCACCGGTGTGTTCTGATATTGATAGTGTATTTGAGAATGAAACTTTATCACAAACTGGCGATGCTGTGAATGAACTTTCTGAAGTTCGATTAAGGCCTTGTCCCACTTGTGGTAAAATGGTTGATCTGGATAACTTGAAACGTCACACAAGAGCATGTCTGAAAGCAAACTTTGCTGCTTGTAAAGCTGCGATTGGTAGTAATGAGATTTTGAGAACCAGGCCTAAAACCCCACAGAAGCTTGATATGCCAGGCGGTAGTAATTCCAACAAAGAAGACCATGTTTTTTATGAGGAACAATACTTATGTCCAACATGTAGTTCAGACTTGACTTTGCTCTCAAAAGACCAAAGAAACGTTCACCTAAATCGTTGTTTTGACCATTATTCAACTTTGGGTAACATAGCGAAGACATCACCAAAATCAAAACCTGTAAAAAAATCAAAATTGGAAACTGATAAAGATCTTGGATTGAGGTGTCTAATTTGTGCAAAAGAAGTAAAATCTCATGCAGGTTTGAAACGCCATTACAAGGCTTGTCAGAAAAAGAATAAGTTTTCCACTATGACTGCTTTGACACTCAATCGTCCTGGTAGTGCGAATGAAGTTGACGTAGAATTGCTTGCTGAGATAAGACGAGTCGAGGATCGAGCACAGGACGAAACTTTGCAACCTAAAGTTGAAAAGGTAATAAAAAAGAAAGCAGCCAAGAGAGGACGACCGAAGAAGAATATTGAGTCTTACAATAATGAGATGTTGAGATTAGCTATTGCTGTTTCGAATAACGAGAATTTGGATCAAAAACGATTGAAAAAAATCAGAAATCTACCACCTCCCGCTATGACGTCTTCAAGCCCAAATACAAAAAGAAGAGAATTGCAAGATCGATTGAACGCAATTGCAAATCCTACTTTATCGGGGAGTGATGATGATGACGATGATGATGAAATTCCAAGCACACCTGCTTTACCAACCACTGCTTTGAGACTACCCTCAGTGCGAGCTAACGTTAGAGTAATATCAAACTCAGGAAGATATTTAAATTCTGCACCATCTGGAGGTTTAGACAGTGATCAGCCCGGGCCATCACATATGGCGATTCAAAATGAACCACTGATTCCTCAACAAGTGGTCAACGTTATACCTGCAAATCTCGTTATGGAACCTCAAATACTACAATCTGGTGTGAATTATCCTAATCTTATCAATGTTATCCAACCTGATCCTATCGCAGTTTTGCCTCCGTCACCTGTAATGGAACCGCAGTCTCCACGGCAGCGAAATCAGCTTTCTCCTGGTGAACTTCAGTCCCCTGAAGTAAGTTCTAGTAATATTAAAAACAATTCATCCTCTGATATGAATGAAAGCTTAAGCGTGAACGCAGTAGAAGCAACTAGTCAAGAAAGAGAAGTTCAATGTGACCAGGTCACTGATCATAGGCCTACACAAAGTCCGTCGACTAGTAAATGGACAATGACCAGAAGAAATTTAGATTCGTCTTTTAGAGTTCGGGGATTACTATCACAATTTGAACCAAGGAATGTTCAGCAAGGGAGACAACAGCGATTACCTAGTGAAGAAATTGTCGCTGAAGAGATACCTGCCAACGAGGAGTCTGTCTCTGTTAATACAACTAACGTCGAGGAAAATATTGATTCAACACTAATGGCCATAGAAGCTTTAAATAGTGATCGAGCAATCCAAGATGCTGTTGCATCAAACACACAATCACAGTCATCGCAACAAGGTTTATCATTGCAAAGGCACGATTCTCAATCTACGAATTCATCGCAAGCCGGTCCGTTATCGTTTGTAAGACTTCTCGACCATCCTCAATTCAGCGATGCAAAAATTTTAGTAGGTGGAGAAAAAGAAGCCATTTATCTTCACCAGAATATACTCTATTGTTCGTGTCCGAATTTATTGAAAGAAATAGAGGACGAAAATGCTAAAGGAAAAGATCTTTGGCTTCAAGACTTTTCTAAATCAGAGATCATGCCGCTTCTGCGTTTCTTATATACTGGAAAGATAGATTGTCTGATATCAGATAGAATATACAGTAAAAGCAAATTACTTATAGAAAGATTTAACATTATGCTTTCTGAAAATGATCAACAATTATTTGACTCACAATCTACAGAAGAAATATTTGCGACACCTTTGCCAGTGTCTCCTAAGATGCCTGAATCAGAAACTGATACTGAGATGCAAAGTGATAATGTCGCTACTGATCCACTGTTAGATAATTTAATCGAAGAATCGGTGCTATCAGAACCAGAACCATCATTTGAAGAAGAAATTCTGCCTCAGAATTTGACTCAGAAAGATCCTGATTTTCCTGAATCGCCTTCCCCACCACAGTCTTTCACTTTGGTGCAAAATCATGCCGAACAACAGTCTGATGTAGTAAGGGAACAGTCCTTGACATCTGATTGTGATATGTTTGATTTTGAAACTCCTGGTGCTTCTACTGACAATGTAGATTTTGATGAAAGCTTTGTTGAACCCCCAACTAAGCTTGCTGATAAGTTAATAGTTTTCAATGATCAACCAGGTTCATGTGAGCATACCATGATGGATAAAATTAGCGATGGTTCAAAGAATACTGACACAGAAAATGTTGATGATTCTGAAGTTGAACAAGACATGATTACTTCAGAAAAGAATGATCTGATGGAGACTTCATCGCAAGATTCATTTGCTTCTAGTGATATTTGTTCCTCACAAGACGATGAATCGTCGGATTCACCTGATTTTAAAAAGAAGCTTAGAAAGCGTAAGCGGCTAATAGATAGCCCTGTGCAGAGGAAAAGTAAAAGAAGATCTCTTGGCAAAAATCATAACTTTTGGAGAGGTTGTCCTTGCTGTAAAGGTGATTCTGATTCACCCACAAAAATAAAAATGAATAACAGAAATCGACACAGATATGTTCCCAGTCCTCTCGCTGATAGAAAATCTATTCAGAAATGCTCAGTTTATAACAAGAAACAATTAACACCTCTGAAACAAAAAAATGTGTTGGATAGAATGAGAAGCACACCAAAATTGTCGCCACGGTCTCAAAAATCGCTTCCTCAAAAGTCTAACAATCCAGAGTTGCACTCTACAGCTAGTCCTATCAAGTGGAATATAAAAACAACACCAAAAATGTCACCTTTAATCAAGAAAGTACATCCAAGAAAGCGACAGTCACCCATGGCCTATTCTGGGAGTAAAGTTCTGCATTTGAACAAAGTGACACTAAAGAAAACAAGGCTAGTTTCTTCAAGAAAGAGTTCAGCTAGAGGTCGGTCTTTAACTCCGAAGAAATCGCAGATTACATTTTCACCAAAATCACAAGTTTTGCCCACTTTTGGAGGGCGTAAATCCAGTCTCTCAAGGCGCAAACAAGCAGATAGCGCTGCAAACTTGACCCCTACAAAACAAAGGGCTAAAATTGTGAATTGCAGGACGGAAGATGACATAAAAGTGAAGAAGGATAATTTGAACATAGAGCCATCTTCAGATTCTCCAAAATCACTTGACAATGAATCAAAGCCATTATTAGTTGACTCCGCCAAGAAGCCGGTTTCTACTGTTTCTGCCAAAAGTCAAAATGGTGCTGTTATAGCTAAAAGGAAATCGATAACAAAAAGAGTTCGACGAAATTCATCATCAAAACTGTCCAAAGAAACTGTTTATGTGAGTGAAAGACTCCCAAGATTCAAGCAAAGAGACCATATCAAAAGTCGACCAGGGGTTGCAAATATGATGAAAAATGTCAACAAAGTCAGCAAACAGAATAAAAAATCGGATCTAGTGGTTCCTAAGTTAGAGATGACATCAAATGAGATATCTGAACCCCAGCCAGATGTTATGAATGGTATATCAATGAGCCAGCCTGTGGAATCAGAAACATACTTTGATAATACGGAAGACAGAGATGTTTTTTATCAGAAAGAAGATTCAGAAATAAAGCTGAAGAAATATAAGTTCAAACGAGTCAATTTACTCGGGTATGCATCCGCGAGTCCGAACATTAATTCTTCACCAATCAGCGCTCAAACAAAGACAGTGAATGATGACTCTTCAAGTGAAAGTGATATATCGGGTTATGCTTCTGATGGACAAGTATTTACAAATATCTGTTTCGATGATTCATTTGAAGTTGACTGCATGAAAGAATCGAAACTAGATGTGGATCCTATCCCAAATTTGCTAAATGTGTACAATGAAGAATACGACGCCGGAGCTCTTGTTGCTACCTATCATACAGGGTTACATACTCCCGCACATGCTCCGATTTCTAATGTAGTTAGCAGTAGTAAATATTTTGGTCCTGTTCCAATCACTCCGATGCCAAATTATCAAGACATGGAAACTCCGGAAGTTATCAAACATGCGACGAAATTTGGTTTGAAAAAGAACTTAGGTAAAGTGAAACTACGTTCTAAATTACAAGAAGCATATTTGTACAAACACCTTATTGCTTCTGACAATGAAGAATCCGAGATTGAAGACGCAGATGACTATGAATGCTTTGAAAACGAAGATGATTTATGTATTGATACAGCTGAAGCTGATCAGAAATTGAAACTAGAATTATCTAGACTTTCAATGACAGTTTCAAATTCACAAAAAAATTCGGACAGTATTTATACTTTCGAAAAACTCTCTCCCGAGGAAGTGTTGGCTCTCTCATCTAAAATCGTTGATGAAATGTTCCTGGATGGAAGTCTTCTCAGCGCTCTCAAAGAAAATAAAAGAGAAACTGGTTCGATTAAACGTGGATCACGTCAAGATCAAATGCGATGTTGGAATATCGTAACCCCGGGAAGTTCCAGTTATAATCCGAAATTGAACGCCATTCTAGCACTATCAGAAGAATATCAATCCGCTATTACAAATCCTCTTGTATCCTGCGTCGTTAAGAACTATATCGCGTATAAAAAATACCAATTTGATTGTGTTCCAATCGTTTGTGATCGGATGCAAAGAGAAATAAACTTACGTGATAAATTATAGTGCTTTTTCTTCATTTTTTTATTATTGTCATTTTCTGCATTTTTATCAAATGTCTTCTGAAATACTGGGATTCCAACTCAGGGAATTACAAATAAAAGTTTGCTTTCGGAGCAAAATTGGCAATTATTTTATTTATGTTGAGTCAATTTGCACCAATTTTGTCTCAGTGGAAAAATGATTTTTCATTGTAGATGGGGTCATAGTTTCAAACTCCCTGGTGTAGAAATTCTCAATTCTTCCGAGTCCGATATGCACTCTTCCAATGGTGATAATATAATTCAAATTTTTTTACAGAAACTTAAAAAAAATTATTTTGAAAATTTGATTTTTCAAGTTGGTGTCAAAATTTATTCAACCCAGAGAGAATTTTATTCATTCTAGAGCGGTAATAACAGGTTCCTCCGGCTCTAAGTCTTAGTGGGCACACTCATAAAATTTAGAGTTTAAAATTGTTGCTATTGCAATAACAATTATCCCTATTTCTTGTTCTCATTGAAAGGTGTATTTTCAATATGCTTGTGTATTTGTTTCATGACAGTAAAATAGTACATTAATGGAAATATTTAAGAGTAGAGATGGGTGTCTCAAAAATGTGGTGTCCCACATTTGTCCTATTTATACTATACCACTTGTCCCAATTGTATGAATCTCACTTTCTATGTGAATACTATAATCTTCTGCCCAAGTATCATATCTATTCTAATTCTAACGAACCTAACCCAGAGACACCAATTAGAGACACCAAATACCAATTAGTATTTGGGGATATCTATAAAATTTTCGGTGCTCTCGAAGTATGCGAACCAAGATGGCGGACATTGGAACGTAACATGGGTAACAGATTAGGGTTAGGCGATAAATTTTTTCCAATTTTCTTTATTTTAGTCCTATTATCAGTTCGAAGACTAGCCAAGAGCCTCCCGTGGTATTTATAGCTAAAATTATGGCCTATCCCTAACCTAGTACACATATTACATTCCGATGTCCGCCATCTTGGTTCGCATACTTCGGGAGCCCCAAATTTTCTTTCATTTTTACTTTGTATTATTTGGTCATCCGTATTTCAGACATTAAAATTCAAATTGATTTATCCTATATTCAGATTTGTGTGATTCTTACTGCCTTCAGTTGTTTAAAGTTTCATTATAAAATTCTAATCTTTCACAAAAAGTGTGTATTGTATATCGAGGGCCTAAAATGGAAGGTCAGAAATTGAAAACGCTGCTTTGTGAAAAGGAGGGAAAACATATAATTTTGTTTTTTAAAATATCCATTGGAATATGTTGGTCAATATTTTTTCAAACTATGATCAGACTCCAAGGAGGCATTACTTGTGTTGATGTTGACATTTCATAACAAGAAATAAGTTCTATAAAAATACCCATATTCAAATATTCAATCTTTTACATCATTGAACAGTGACCAGTTACGTCTTAATTTAACTATATTATACAGGTTTTGCTAAATAACCTTGATTGGGTATCCGAAACTTGTTTTCCATATTAATTGGGTCGATTTTGCATATTTCAACTAATATCTCAAGTCTAGTTTTGAAAATAATTTTCTTAAATATTTTGCCTTTTTCAATTTGCCATGTATCAAATGTTTAAATCACAAACATTATTGTAGTATGGTTGAATGTCCAGTTTTGGCCTTTTACCAGTAAGAGCACCTATTTTATTGTAATAATTTCAAAATCGAAGAGTTTCAACGAATAGATACCATATAATTTTTATTAATCAGCCAACTAATAACAATTGTTATATATTATTATAGAAATTCACCGTGCATTAAATGTGCTATAATAGCAGCGAATAACTGGGGAATATTAAACCCGATTTGATAAAGAACTTTCACATATGCCTGATGCCCTGCCATCATTTTGCTTTATTCTTTAGAAAAGTTATGATATGACTAGCTTGGAATTGATCATGACTGATATTGTTTTGTTGTAGAATAAAATGAGTCAATGGATCTAAAGCGTGAATGTGGAAATAAAAGTCCTGTTCATGTAATTCAGTCTTAGTTCAGCTATTGTATTATACAATAATTTCAACTTCTATTTTTTTTTTTTTCAATCAATTTATAAAGTGCCCCAATTTTCGACAATATTCACAAACTTATTATGCAGAATTATGTTATTTTAGGTACCGTAATCAGTATATCCAATCTGAGTGATAGATTCTCTATCGTGTGTCAAATCTCACTACCGATACTACTGGTATATTCACGGCCATTTAGGTCTATCTACCGTATTTTCCAGCGAATAAGTCGCTTTTCTAGACTCAAATTTTTAGCCTGATTTTGAGGGGGTCGTCTTGTTAGGCGAGTATGATAATTTTTTTGGTGTAGCCTTATTATTCCATTCGTACCATAAAATACCAATTACCTTCGGAGAGAGCATCCCCACGTCCTCATCATTGCCATGTTATTTTAGATCGGTGATGTTCGTATATGGTGGACGCAATCGCGAGTTAGGTTGATCATAATTAGATAGAAATTGAAAGCCATTCTGAATTCTCGTAGATGTTATGGATTGTATATTCCCTAAAAGAAAAAGTCATTATAGGCTATTTTAACCTATGCGCAAACGCGGTGACCGCTCAAATGGTTCTGCATGGTAAATTAAGATCCCGATGTTGATGCAAAACCCCCATTTTTCAGGCTTAAAAATGGCCCCGTCTTATTTACCGTGTAGACTTATTCGCTGGGAAATACAATAATTGAATTTTCAAAAATTTCATTTCAGTAAAAAAAAATTGTTCTTGATGTAAAATTTCCCCTGCATTTTTAGTTTAGAATTATATTGATAACAATATTTCTTTTAATTAAATTTTGTTTATCATTGATATTCAATACTGTATATATATATATATAAATATTCTTTATTTTCAGTCTTCTAAAGTTGTATTTGCATTTCTTTGTTAAATAAACAGAAAATTCAAAAGAATTTCTACGTTATTTCATTGAATCACACTGCATCTTTTCTTCCATCATTTGAAATTTCATTTAGGAAATAAAACCTTAGATTTTGTGCTTTACACTCTTTTATTGAGCTAAACCATTTCATTCTGATTGATAATTTACATTTTAAAAATTTTAGTATAATATGTTTTGAATTGAATATTCAAACTACTTTGACAGCTGTCTCACGTCAGTGGGAATTTGCCTTGACAATAGCTTGATAAGTATTTTTGTACCAGCAGGCACATCAAGTAGTCAACAGCGACTCAAATTTTAAACAAGTTTCATTCTCATCTGGCTTTCTGTTTTTCTTTCTTGCGCACTCCTTTTGAGAAAAAATTTATGGAATTTTTTTCGTTGAATTCTGAAATTGGCAAATTTTTGGAAAGTGTATTTTTGAAACAATGCATTTTTAAAAATCAGTCATATGACAGTAGATCATGTGCTGGGCACAAAATTTAGACAATCCACTTGCTCCACTCATATTTATAGTATATGTGTATAATTTTCTTTGTTTACATAATAATGATTAATATCATGTACTGTTGTTCACATTTTCTTGTTTTTTCGTCTTTGAATTTTTGTTTTTGAGAAAGGAAAATATTCTTTAATTCTATACCATTACATTGGAACATTTTTTGGTAATTTTTTTTTTGTTATAGATGTTTGTTATGATGATAGACTAGGTCATATTAATAAAAGTAGTCATGTCAAATAAAAACAAGCATCAAAGCCTTGTCTTCAAAGGACAGCATTCTCCAGGTATAAAAAATGTTATATATAATCATAATCTTTTGTGGCATTATTGGCATCAAAGAATTCGGTTTAAATACAATTTGGGGTGAAAATGTGTGTTTCAATTTGTGAAATATTTTCATACTGTGATTTTATGTTTTTCACTCTGAACAAGGATCTTTACAAGCACCCACTGCTTTGTGTGAAGCTACTGTATTTTCGTAACGAAATGCATACCCTATTTATTATAACCTGGATGACGTGTCGTGCATTAGATTTGTACAGTTCCATGATAATATGTCAAATGCTAAACCAGTGTGAGATACGTCTCCCTGAACCCTGAGTTGTGAGTCAATTTGAGTCACACAACATCAGAATCCAATGTTGAGTCAATCACTGAGATTACTCACTGGTGCTCAGTTAAGTCCGAGCCATTTCATTAAGATGACTTGTGCTTATGATTAACGGTGAACAGGGGTCAACTTGAATCAAGACTTTGCAACACTGTGTTGATCTTTCTGAGTTAGTTTAGTATGAGCTCATGAAAGTTTGGCATTATGCGAAGCACATCACCCTTGGTTTGATGAATTTGGTCTGTTATGGCAAATATCGTCTATTGTTTCTCAACGAATCTTGATTTTAAATAAAATATTCCCTTTTTTCAGCCACCGCATATCTTCTCTCTGTTTTGGAAAATAAGACAAAGGAGGATACATATCATGTTGGTGCAGGTGATGTAGAAAGAGTTACAGCTGCATTCGCTGCTTTATCAGAGATTTTACCTCATTGTGGAGTTTATTCACCTGTGCTTAAACTAGTTAAAGAAGAATTATACAGTAAGTTTCATTCAAATTTATGCGCTTTCGAAGGTTTGATGACTTTGATGTAACGTTTCTTGAATTTCGAAATAATGATTTTTCAAATGATTTTTTTTTAACTTTTCTGCTTCTGTATGGTACTGGTTAAATTATTTCAAAACATGATTTCACTTATAATATTATAATTTTAAACTATGTTTTTTTTATATGTTATGTCACTTCTGATAATTTACTTATGCCTGTTCAAGGGATTTGGGTCATATGAAATGTACTTTGAAGAAAAGGGTTGAAAATTTGAGCAAAAAAGTGAGCAAAAATTATTATTTTTTTCACACATGCTCAACTTTAAATGAATTAAGATTCATATTTAAGGTTATTGCGAATATTCGATATTGAATTACGAGGTCTAAGCTGAAATTATTTATGAACTTAATTTACTTAGTAACGGTGAATACAAAGCTTCCTTATGAGCAGTGGTTCATTTCATTAAAATGCATCATGTCACTTTGAGCGTTTAATAAATGGTGGTTTGAAAATACTGATTAAGTGGTGCTCCAGAAGTGTGTGTACCAATATGGTGGTAACTAATTTTGTTCGCCTACTTTACATCAAGTTGTGTAAAGGGACTGATACTTGTGGGCAGGGGGTATATTCACTTGACCAACACAGACAGTCCCCGAACTTATAAAAAAACTGAAATAAGGAAAAATAAAATTATGGCCTAACCTTAACCTAGTACACATACTACGTGAGTACTGATTGAGGGATATTTTCAGTGTAATGCTAGCAATAAAAATTGGTTGTTGTGCCCAATCTTTCATTGTTTCAGATGCTTTTCGATAAAAATGTGTGATGTAGTGCAAGGCTGCTTCCACCCTTTAGAACGATTACTGTTTATTCACTTTTCATCATCTAAAACTGATTTGAATAAAAATATTTGGTTGCAGTGTTCGTTTGGTATATATTGTGTAGCCCTACATAAAGAAAATTTTATGGCAACTGGATATATGGAAATTTCTGTTACGTAATGTTGGATTGGATCGAAATTTTTTCTTAATTTTTCTTTTGTTGCATCATGTTATAGTAATAATATGTTTTTATTTGCTTCCTGCTGCTGACTGACGATGACCTGTATTATCGTTACGTTACTCAATATGGTCACTTTTTGACTTTCATAGTGAAAAGACTTTAAGCATGGTCGTGTATATTGAAGATTAAGAACCTCTAAAATTGGAAATTATGGTAGAAAAATTCAAACATTTGGAGAATTGTCATTCTATGTATTCACCAATATTATCTATAAATAATATTTTCCTACCTAATTAATACCAAGTTTATTTGAAGTTGCTTTTTACAAAGGTTGCTCTTAATTCTACTTGTTGTTGATTTTTTTGTGTCTCATTCGAAAATTTCAAAATTTTGTTTATGTGTTTTTATGTTAGGTGCAGTTTACAGTGACACATACACCGCATCTAAAAAACAAACTGATGAACAAAACAGGAAGGAAAATGTTACTCAACAATCGAGGAAGCTGGATCGTGTCCCTTACTTTGTTCTTCTTAAGGTAAGTGTGTGACTAGGGTTTGGTTTTACCCATATCCAATATTTCATTATTTCACTTCATAAACGCATGTTTGAAAAATAATTTTAATATATGAATTCTTGAAGACATTTTTTGGATAGCATTCATTTTGAATAATACCCCGTCCCTGTCGCTAACTTATATTGAGAAACTTTAACAAATTTTCATGGAAACATAAGAGCAATGCTCAAATATAAATACTTGAAGGATGCGCATCGGTACTGGTCGAGAGAGCCATTGGAATTAATTTCATTGAAAAAATAAACTGATAGCCGCTTGTCGATTTTACTATTATTACCGGTAAGTATTGGGAAAAATTGAAACGAATTGGAATTTTGCAAAATGATCCATAGGTTCGTTTCGCGGCCAACAAACCATATTCTATTAAATTAGTGTGTTTTATCTATCAGGAATATCATACCATTAGCTCTGAATATTGCCCTGTGCCAGTACATGCTGATATCTAATGATATGTATAGAAAAGGCTGATAGCAACTGGACTAGAGCTATGCGTAGAATTTAGATGTGCCATATTGGTAGATGATGATTTCATGACTTCATTACATTATCACATTATGATTTTTTCTCATGTTTTTTTTCAGAGATTGCAAGAACAAAGGAATGAAACAGCTGAAACGTTGCAAATTCAGGTTCAGACTATTCAATCCAGATTAATGAATTCTGAGGATTTAATTCAACAGAAAAAGGATGAAATTGAAATGCTGAATAGTCAGCTAGAAGACGTTAATAAACAATTAGAAAATACAAAAACTGAATTGAACAACAAAGTTGAAGAAATAGTGGCGTGAGTCTTTGTATAATATCTAGGGCTGGGCGTTTCGAATCTAATAGTAAATTATTCGAATCAGTTCAAAGCAAAATTTTGAATCGCAGCCATCTTGTTTTTTTCTTTCCTCCAAAGGTCATTTTTTTTGTTGAAGGTATATTTTTTCAACGCAATTCTTACATATGACTCTTTTTTGTAATGATTATTGATGGAAACGTGTTTTTATTGTGTGTGAACGCTCAGCAATCTGCCTGAGTAATGCATTCTATGTTTTCAGTAATTTATGTGTCTGGAGGAATACAATGAAAAAGTTGCATACAATTTTATATCTCCCAAGTATTCGAGATTCGATTTGAAAAAAATATTCGATTCGATTCTGAAATCATCAGGTATTCGAAAATGCCAGCCCTAGTAATATAATATATAGGCATGATATTTCATTGGAGGTGTCACAAAAGGTTCCTAATTTATGTAAAGTCATCTCAGTCACCTCATTTTTTACTGTAAGGTTTTAAACAGTTTTGGAGGCCACTCGGTTACTTTATTGAAAATCTAATGTCAAACTATTTTAATTTTGTGAACTTAGGCTCGATTCTAAAATAGTGGAAAATGAAGAAGAGGCGAACAATAAACTTCAGGAATTAGCTGAGGAAATGAATCTGTTACTTGGAAAGAAACAACAACTGCAAGATGAAAACAATGTCTTGCGACCATATAAAATGAATTACGACACCTTGAAAGATACATTCGATCTTCCACCTGATAAACGTCCGAAACGAGGTTTCAGAAGACCTATTCTTGCAACTAAAAAAGTGAGAATGTTCATGGTTAATTTTCTGATACAAGAAGAAGATTATAAGGAACTATAATTTTGCATTGTATTCAACCATCCTGTGTTCCAATGATTTAATAGGAAGATAAACAGCATTTGTTCCATTCTATGTCTGTAATGAAAATATTCGATAGTCTAGAATTGAAGTTTGCAATTTGTAACTGAGATATATTTCATGACAATAAATGATAAATATTTCATTATAACAATAATACATTTCAAAAATATATCATTCATAACCAAGGCCTTTACTCAGCAAAATAGATACTACCGACAGTGCCAATATTTACACTGTGATACTTTACACATATATATAAGATTACTATGGAGTATGGAGTATTACTACAATACAAAAAATTCTATCAAATTAAGTTTTTTAATAAGAAAAAACAAGCGACTATAGGGGAATTTCAGGGGACCCAGCTTGGGTCGACCCCATACTATGGGAAAAATTGATTTAGGTACCGTGAATGTGCAAATTATCCCAAATAATCTCTCTCCATATTATTATTTATTATTCTGAACTGTTTTCTTGCAGACTCAACTTTTATCGTCAATTGAGGCAGCTTCTAAACTGGAACAACAGATTCTTGAGATCCAGAACAAAACTTTAGAAGAACATGACAAATATTTAGAAGAAGTAAAAGACAAATTAGCTGGCAAGAAATTCTCAGATAATGCTAATGATCCCAACTACTACACCGAGGAACTCATGCTGGAAAACTTGGGCGATGAGGTGAGCGTTGTTATGCTTTTTCGAATTATAATTTCTCATCAAAAATATTCTTGTCGTAGAAACTATACTGTATTATCTTGTACTTAGTTTCTGTTCTGATAGCTCAATAAATGAGTTAGCTCTGTCTTGGCAAATGCATCGTGTTGCTTTTGTATATTGTATTAAATAGTATGTTATTACATTACATATATTTTATCACATAAACTTATATTTGTTTTCAAGTAAGTCAAAGTCCAAATATAAACAAGGGATTTTTGTATTTACCGACACCTGTGTTTACGACAGTGCTCAAAATGTTGTTTATGAATAACATAAATTAGTTTGTAAGAACCAACGCACAAAAACACACACAATGTAAGCATAAAAAAATTGGAATGGTAGAGTATAGGATGAATTTTCATGGAGTCTGGAAACATCCATTACTTTTATACTTTTATTACTTTTTTTATCCACTCTTTATACCCATTATCTTCCGAAAATTTTGATGATTCAAAAAACAACGGTTTCCCGATGAGCCGCTTCGTCAATTGGTTGCTGCTGTTGGTTGTTACCTCCTTTGTGTACCATATACATGAGAATTGATCGGAACGATATTTATATATATTTCACACAGTAACATGTTTTTAGATGACTGCAAGAAAACAAAATTTTCAGAGGTTGGTTTCAGGAATGGTCGTTGAGTTGGAATTAATTCGTGCTCATCGTGAGGCTCTTCAGAGTGAACTCACTCAACTTGAGCAGGTTGAGATGGGTGCTAGAGCGGTGGCTGACGGAGATGGAAGTGTCGGGGGTGGCACTATTGTTCCGTCATCCATGGCAGGACGACCAGGAAGCAGCAGGATGATGTTGTTTGATGACAATAAAAAGAATGGAAGAGGTATTGATAGCATAACTTTTTGAGTCATTTTTTATTCTCTTACTCTGAGTAAAACTTGGTCAATAAGCCGCTGAAACATAAGGATCTACATTATATTCAATGATGAATCTTTTTGGTTCGTTTTACCGAATTTATTACACCCTGTGTGAGGTGGTTGGCATAGGGTTCAATATTAGAACTTTAATTTGTGACATTATCATAGTTATACCCAATGAACTAATCTTGACATGGGCAAACTACAGTTGGCAAGCCAGGTTGACTGATGCTACTTTAAATTTCTACTTTTAACCAATTCGTGTGCACAACAATGTTTTTTTACCAACCACAGTGTTTCTTGTATGCGGAAAAAGCATTCCTGTTTTTTTTGTGTATCTGACACTATATAACCCAATATTGCAATCAAATTAGTATTTTTTAACCAATTACCAAGTGATTAACATGAGTTTTTACAGTGTATCAGACTCATATTTGAAGAAAGCAGACTTCTTTGTAATTAAAATATTGTTTGTACTGAATTTCAAAATATTCAGAATTCTAACGGCTTTGTCCAGTCCAGTCGGAACATTATAATACTTTTCTCTTTTATTTCTCAGATTCTCAGTTGTCACTCGGAGAAAGTGGTTTAGAAGAAGACAACACAAAATTAACGGATCCATCTACTGATCCTTTCAATCCCCAAGAGAGAGTTCTCAGCAAATATTCTGCGATGATTTACACTTCTATCAATTCTGGTTAGTTTTGTTGCAGAATTTGAATTTACCAAGGGTTTGAAAAAGCTGATATATTATATGCCAGTGGTTCTTAACATTCATTCTCACATTTACCCCTTTTCAAAGAAAATTAACACCCCAAGTGTTTTATTCTATAATCTAAATATCTATAATAAATTATGGGAAAAAAGGACTTTTGAAATAATTTCCATGTATAATTGTGGTTTGTGGATATATACTGATTGTGTTGACTGTTGACTTAATGTAACTCCAGTTAAAGCATCTATCAACACTTATAATAAATTTTCCTGCCTTCCAAATTAAGCTCCAAGGCAGGTCAAATTCATGCTCGTTTGTGGGTCTGCATGCATATAATGCAAGGGTGTGACAAAAAATGACTATTCTAAGAGATTGAAGAGTCTTGCTGCATACCGAGACATATATATTTCTGTGGACTTTTGTCTGATCGGAGTCATGTTCATGTTGTGATGCCTATTCTATAAATATGCATACACACACTACGCTTGAAATAGTTGAGTTATGTTAGTTTGGTTAAGTCTGACATTTGTCTGATTATGTGTATTTCAAATTATTTATGTGTTAATAATGTACATAAAGACTAAATGAATCCCTTGAGATGTGCACTGTGCTAATGCAAATTCACTAATTTAAATGGCCAAAGTGATGTGATGTGATTCTATCACATGACAAAAGTTGTGAAAGTAAATTCGAATGTATGAAGATTTCAGAAAATTATTTAACAATTTTAAGCATTTTGTATAAACAACTGTTAGTTTGGCATGTTGATAAATTGCTGGATGTCACATATTTTTTGTGCATCTCAAAATTCTTGAAATTGGAAAGATTTTTATTTGTGAACAATGAGACAAACGAAGGTGAGGATTTGTCCTTCAAATGAGATTAATGATAATAGCATTTATCCACTCATACCCCTTCCACTGTTTGAGTCTCAAGAGAATTCAATTTTTTCTGTCAAATAAAATCTTGAGATTTCAAAGCATTTCCTGTTACTATGATGTCTACAGTGTTTACATCTTAATTGATTATTGTATTGTGATGCTGCACATGAACATACACAAAGATGTTCATAACTGTTATTGATATTTTGATGTTCATATGTTAACTATATAGTATTTCAGCAATTTTCAGTTAACAATACCATCATTGTCACATCGCGGAGATTTATAGCCCGTGACGGCAACACACACCAGTGCATAAACGCTAGGCCATATTGCCCATTTTAACGGTTGATTTGCTGATTGCTGTATTACATTCCCAGCTGTTTGTCATGTTTGAAATATTGGTATTGGTACCTTTCAAGGATGTACGAAAGGAATCAAATATTCGAATGCATTTAAAATTTGTGATTTTTGATATTTTGAATATCAGGAATTCAGAAAGAATTTATTTTTTTCATTTGAAAATTCATTCAATTTCTGACTCTTGAAAATAGAGGAAATTAATCAAAATAATGTTTATCTATTCTATTTGATATTACAACAACTTTTCTCTGAACATAAGCCAATTTCGGATATGTTTGAAAATATTATCGCAGAATATATCTGGAAGATTAGAAAAAATATTCCAGTTTGGCCACCCATGCTACCACCTCATAGTTAACTTGGGAAAGTATGTGGGAATCCCGGATAATAAAACCTAATTAGTTACCAGCACCACAGCACTGAATATCATCATTGCTTCCTATGTAATGTATGTTGTCAAATATTTGTTCAAGTGCACTCTAAAATTTTTACTTTGAATAAGTTTGTTTGATTTAGTGAATCTGATCAGTCTGCTATTCTGAATTCTATCTGATATAAAATTTCTAAAATGCAATATCGAATATATCCTAAATGCAGTCATGTTCGACAAAAAACACATAAAATTCATTAGTCAATGTATCGGATGATTCAAAATACAAAACTCATTAATTTTTTAATTTCTGCTACGAATTGGAGAAAATATATTTAACACTTGATCTTCTGTTTATGTAGGATTGTATCAAAAAGTTTCATAAATCTAGGAAGCTTTTTTACAAAAAGTTGGTTTTGAATTACGGTAAATTCATCTTGACTTGACTTTTCAAACAACTGCAATTTGTAAATTTTATATATTTTTATTAGTTGAGCGAGCCTTTTGTTATTGATTTCAATAATAATAATGATAATTTTTTTTTGAAAATGAATAAATAATACCGTCTTCATTCTTTATCCAGGAAAAAGTTTTGATGAAATCAACTGTGCGAAATTTTGTATAAGTTGCGGAGAAAAAACAGCAATTTGTCCTCACAAAGTAACAAAAGAAGATATGATAATTAAGTTACCAAGAGGATGTACTCATGTTAAAGTGTCTCGTCCTCAAGTTAGGATTGCTATATCGGTATCTCAACAAGGGTGAGCTATCCTATAGTTTCTAATATTACAAATTAGGACTTTGGAGTCGGTGTTTGGGATGTTCTCATCGAAGCCTGAGTCGTATTTTCAAACTCCCCAGAGCCGAAGTAGAAATTTTAAGTTTACAAAAGTCGTAATTTAAGCTTTTCATGTCAAAGTTCAAATTTTCTGCGAAAAACTCAAAACATATTTTTTAACCAAGTCTATTTTAAAGAAGGCTTGCATACACCAAAGTTATTATTGATCAAAATTTTATTTCCTTGGGATTTCAAAGTTGGAGTTTAAATTCCCATCAACCTGGAGTCAGGGTCCAAAATATTTGTTGATAATTAATTTTCTCTGCGTATCAGTCTATGTTTTCTTTATGATCTGCGTATAACATTTTGTAAACAACATTTTGCATGGATTTGCCTTCGTTAAATGATGAATAATAATTTTCTGCTATTTAATGGATCGGTTAAGGATATCCTAGTGGGCGCACTGTCCTCAATATGGCCTGCATTCTGCAACCAGGACTTTCCACATCTATTTAAAATGAATCAAACCAGGTTTTTCTTAATTGCTCAATCTCTGGTGTGTGGTTGCTTGACAGCTCACTTATTGTGTAGCTACCTGAAAAATAAAACTCCATGTCTACGTAGCAGCTCGTTAGTTTGCTACGGGGGCGGTTGGGCCGTCTTGTATTTTTCCTCTCAACCTATTTTTACAAATGCCCATAAAATGATTGTGTTACATCTCTCAATCATTCGCACAGCATTCATTTTAAATAAGCTTGACTTATTTGAAATAAGTTGCCTTGAACATGCTTGTATAAATGTGAAGTTTGATCAATTATACTTCTTAAGAGTTCAAGTGTTATCATGTACACAATTTTTTTTATATTATCACAGAGTGCCTCAAACAGCAAGTACAATGTATCCAGGCAGAGCAGGAGCTGATACTTGGCTTTCTACAAGACCTGAACCTCATGGATGGGATGCATCTGGTAAGATCATTTTGAATTTTTTGGAACTTTTTCAACAGATTAGTGAACGATGTTCAGGGTTTTTCAAATAATATGGTCATCTCAATTCTCAGTATATGTTCTAAGTATACAAGTGGAATATCAATTTGGACAAATGTATAATTCATTTTAGCAACACATCACGTAACCTTCTATATTTCTCTATTATATTACATTTTCTTTATAGCTTTGCAATTTATCTAAATGTGTTTAAGTTCATTTTAAAAACAGATGGAAATTAGTGACCAAAAATCATTACTTATTCTCTGTCAAATAAAATTAAAAAAATACTTCCTATGCAGGTTTGACTGGAACATAATAGTCTATCTACTTTTTCGAATTCACTGCAAATTTTATGTATATATTTTCTAAATCGAGTCAAGTGTAACAAGTAATTTCATTAGTTACAAAAGCCTTATTGGACATACTGTGGAACTTCAATTAAATTAATTGATAGTTTTAAATATTAAACTCTTGTAAATTATTCCTAAGTACAAGAATTTGACATATCGAGTATAATTAAGTTAAAATAAATTCAAAAACACACTCCCTTTTTAGACATCGCTTTTCCTATGTTTCACCCTTATTTACTTTAGGTGATTGGGTGATAGAAGAAGAAACGAGGCAGCAATTGGCAGCACTGTGGGATGATTTTAAAAGTCGTACTGGGACAGAAAGGTACCTGCTTCCTGCATCTCGTGATCTATCTCATGCTAGAGTTTTATCTCTCATTGAGCAGTTATATGCAAGTGTGGTTTGGCAGGATGATCATCAAGCTATGGATGACGATGATGACAGCTTAGGAACCATAAAGTAGGTTTATACACTGGATAATAATATTGTGTCTTAATTAATTTTGCTAAACCTTAGTGATAAATTAATAAGCAATTTCTTGAACTGTCTTTCTGTCCTTTCTTTTTATGTCTTCTGGACCATGGGGAGGTTCAAGGCCAGTCGAAAAAAATCTTTGACTCTGACAAAAAAAAAATTATTTTTTCCTCAGACTGAAGGAAATTTTGAATTCAGCTCAGAAACACAAACGATAATTTAAAATAGTCACACAACACATGCAAGATGCAATACACGACTGTCAAACTTAGATATTTGAAGGCTAAATACATGTTCCAAATCAATGAAAGATGTATCTTAAGAAAATATATATCCTCCTCTGTATATTTTACCTCTGCATGAATCAGCGTCATCTTTCTTACATTTTTAGAGACTACATGTACAATTTTATATCAGAACGATACCAAGAAAATGAAATCACTCCAATGGCAACTTTTGATTTTCTTGCTGGTGTCATAAAATATGCTACACATGATAAGGTATGTATGACTGTTTATGAACTAAAGCTTGTTCTACATCATATGTAATTGCCAAAAAATGGAATATGATGAAGAGAAAGAATGCCCTCACCATTGCACCCTTGATTACTCTACTTGGATTCGTAAAATGTTCAAATCCTTCGGGAAATTGTTGAATGTGATCGTAGAGTAGTTCGCTGGTCAGTTATGACTTCCTCTACCATCAAGTTTATGTATCAGAATTACAGAATATTTTCCAGGTGATTCAGATGTTTGGGCAGGTCACTGCTGGTAATATAGATGGATCCATTGCAAGGTATATTCATCTGATTGCCGATTTAATTGACATCGTACAGTGGGAAGAAGTCAAAGATTTTGCGGAATTTTCACAAGCCGTCTATCCATTCCTTCCTGTGAGTGTCATTAGGTGTTAATTCAAGTCAGAAGTCACTCAAATGTCGATTGGGTACTTATTAACATAATTTTGTGGGTGCTATGAAGTTACCCGGAATGTATTAAATTGGCTAGACATTGTAGGATCGGAAAAAGTCTCGATTCTTTCATAAACAGTAGCTTTTTACACAATAGTTACCACTTGTCCAGAGCATTGTTTAGGGTAACACTTCATAAAAATGCTAGAGTTGCTGTTTTTCTTAAAAATTGTCTCTTCTCGCAAAAGCAAAAAAATTTTTCACTGAATTTTTCAATTCTCTCTACTATTTATTAGGTCATTTTGCTTTTTAGGAAGAAGATATAGATCAATTTGTTGTTGAATACACTGCATTCAGTGAAAATAAAATATCAAAATCTCTATTGATGGATTATTTTGTTCATATTGTTCTGAAGAATAAAGAACCAAGAATTCAGGTTGATCCATATTTTATTTGCTCGCAATTTGATTTATGTTAGAATCCTGAATATTGTATGAAAACATTTAAAACTTAACTGGCAGATTATAAAATGTGTTTCATTGTGTTTTCGGGAACGTTTTTCATGATCAACTAGTATTAGTAGGTGTTCAATTATTTCGCATCCAACTTAAAAGCTGTTATAGGCTAAACTGAAATGATGTCATTACTTTTAAATAGAAATTGGTTAAATATTTTCAATTGAAATATTGGTCAAGATATTTATTGAGTAAAAACTTAAGAAAAGGGAAATAAATTTGTCAGTGCCAACTTAAAAAAAATTTATGCAATGGTGAAGTACAGGAAAAATATTTCTGGGTGAAAGGTCGAGAAACATCCTCTGTTGCCATATAGTGCGAGTGTGCGACTCATGTACTGGTCAACCACTAATACCCACGTTTACAACTACAACAAGAGTGTGAGTTTATGCAGTAATTTTCGATGCGGCAAAATACAATGTATTCTACTTCTAGGAAGCAGAAAGCAAGTTGTCATCAATACAAGTGACGAAGGCAGGTTTCATGCAAATGTCTGAATTCGTCAATAGTATGGAATATGTTGCTCCTTTAACTAACGAACAACTTTGGAGGAAACTGATGAAAGAGACATTCAAGCTGCATAAACATGGAGATGCTCCGATATCCAGTTTAGCAGGTTTGATTACTCATATTTGAATGCTCACATCTTTAGATCGGGGGTGTGCAACCTTTAATACAGGAGTGCCAGATACAAATACTTGGGTGAAACCACAAACACTTTATTTAAAATAGGCTGGAAGTTTTAGGCACACGTAACAGTTTAAACTAAATTAAAAACTCGTTTCGTGGGCCACACACCATTCAAAATGGGCACTTCTCTTCTGGCCACACAATTTTTCCTTGTGGGCCGCATTTGGCTCACGAGTCGCACATCCCTGCTTTGGATAAAAGGATGGGTGGGTCAAGCATTTGAAAATATGACGAGTTTATGCAATATATGAGACATTTCCTTGCAGGTATTGCTGCGTATGTTTCCCTTGTACAAGTTGTGCCTTTACTGAAAGATCAACTTGTTAAGAAGATTGAAAAAGCAAGAGAGTTAAGGAGAAATGAAGGTACCTTATCCAACTGAGAATTGAAATCTATAACCGCTATAAGGTCTATTTTTGACACTACTCTAATATGTTACTTCCATTTTCAGTTGGAACAAAATTGCAGGCTTCTACTCAGTTGGTGTCGGAGACGGTTCGTTTGGTTACAATGAATGAAATGAAGCAACTGGGATTCAATGTATCGAGACAAAGACAAGCTGGCACTCGACAACTAGATAATGAGTTTGATGATTTTTACTGGCAATCTAGACCAGATACTCAAGAAAGTATGGCGTAGATGGATAATGTATATACTTGTGAACTCCTATAGTAATTTACCTTTGAAACTAAATGTTTGTTTACCTAGTCCAAATACTTCTGCATTTTAGTTAATTGTGGTTTATTTTTAATTATAAAAATATGAGATGAGTTTTATAATATTTCACTGTTTTTACAGCACTGTGTTTTTTTATTCCATAGTATAGATTTATTTTTGTATCAAACCTGATGATAATGATCTTTATTTGCTGTGATGTTTAAATTTATATCATGTTGAAATATATATTAGTAGATTAAAGGTGTTTAGAGACACGGTCAATGTGTGGGAATTACAGCAGTTTGGAGTCGTATTTGAACTCTCTTGTGTCAGGATTTCGGACATTTCATGGGGATAATCACAGTCAAAATTTCTTGCATAGCCTTAAAAGTTATGCTAACTAAGCCTTTCCCAGCAGTTTAATAAAAATGCTGTTTTGATGCTAGACTTTCTTGGTGCTGGCGATGCGCTCGTCATGGCACCTCTGATTATCATGCGTCGACTTTCAAACTCTAGGAGTGATTACGGTATGTGCGAGAGAATTGCTGCACTCCTCGCCGTCTAAGTCGATATTTGCTTCAGTCTGAAGTCCGAGTCAAATCTGAAATGATTCCAAATTTTTACGGTGCCGATCGAAAGACTACAGGTTGAATTGAACAAAACCATTTTTCAATATTTTCTAAATTTATCGGTGCACATTCTCATATTATTGCAAACAAATAAATCTACCTTAGTGAATTTGAATAAAGTACATATTCCTCTTGTATTTCAGAACTTTATTTTTGGTCTGTTACACGTAGGGCTGGGCATTTTTGAATACCTTGTGATTTCAAAATCGAATAATATTTTTCGAATCGAATCACGAAAATATATAATTGTAAGCGACTTCATTATAGTAATTGGTCCTCTCAACAAATGAATTACCGAACACATAGAATAAATCACCCAAATAGATTACTGAGCGTTCACACAGAATAACAAACACGTTTTATCAGAAAATAGTCATATGTTAGAATTTCGTTGAAAAAATATGACTCCAATGAAAAAAAAATTGGGGAATTCACCTCGACAATTAGCGGAAAGATGAAAACAAGATGGCGGCGATTCGAAATTTAGCTCTGAACCGATTCGAATAATTTACTATTCGATTCGAAATGCCCAGCCCTAGTTACACGTCAAGGATTTTTTAGCAACCGTTATTTATATCGATCTCATGACTGTTATGTGTCATCCTTGGATAAAAGATGTAAATTGGGACTTGACATTTCGATGTCCGTGTAAAGCAGGGGTCGGGAACCCATGGCTCGCGAGCCATATATGGCTCTTTTGGTGACGGCATATGGCTCTCAGAAAAATCTAATATTCCAAGACTAAGCTTACTATTGTTACGAGATTTCAAACTCTTTTATAGCCAAATTTGGCAGGAAATTCCCAATACGTTTGAGAACGCGCGTCCAGCACATGTCTATGTTATGTAAGATAATTACCAGACATGCATTGTGACGAACAAGGGGATTCCGAAACATATGTTGTGACATCACAGAGTGATAGAGTTTTGAAAACACTACGGAGATGCCTAAACGAAAAAGGGTGATGAGTATCGTAGATTTCAACTTGGGCTGCATGTGAGCAACCGTTCAAGGCCCGCAGCGACTAGATGCAGCATCAGAAATCACATTAAATGTATATTGACATTGTATGTGTTGACTTTTGAGTGAACATTTCAGGCCTGATTAAGTGAAGAAATGTTATATGGCTCGCACGGAAATGCAATTTAAAATATGTATATTTTATGGCTCTCTTGACCAAAAAGGTTCCCGACCCCTGGTGTAAAGCGATAGATTTATTTCAGAATGTTCATTGAATTATAGTAAACCATCTTTTGCCGATATCGACCATCAAAACAGGTAAAACAAACAATCCGTAGGCTTGGCAGTTTTCGATCATGTGTTTTTACTTGAAGATATTCTGGAAATAAAAATAAATTTTTCGTTCAAATAGTGCAAAAATAAAAATTCACTTTTTACTATAGTGTGGAAATTGACCGTATTTTGTATTTGTTCTTTAAAAACGTATGTGTATTAAACTGGTTCTAAAATTACAGCTAAGTGTCCTATGTCAAAAATTTCGACTGCTTTATTTTAACAAACAGGAACAGTTTTTTATTTTGTCAAGCTAGTCCGCTGATCTCTTCAGCAAACTCTTAGATTATCTGAAACGATACCGATGCGTAACATTCGTGTCCATATTCCACATTGCTTCTTGTTTTATTCTAATGTCCGAAAATAATCGAGTTGTCAATTTCTGTCGGATTGTTGGCGTATAGTCATTTATATGGCGCTTTGCTCGTACATAGATCAGAGCCGATGTTAAATAAAACTTAATTAAATAAAAAGGAATTTTCAAAAAATTTAACTGCGTGGTTTTGCAGAATACAGGTCTCTGGTGCAAATCTCATTCTCACCACTTCACTCGGGGTGTCATAATTGATCAACGCTATGTTGAACCAAAAAGATTCAGGTCTTACTTTAGTAGCCTCTATATGTAAGTATATACTTGTACAAAGAATTGTTTATACCAAAGACGTCATAAAAATAATCAATTGGATAACTTACTTTCCTTTATGTTTGAACAAGTCCGGATGATCAATTTTAATCTTAGATATTTCTTTATCACAATCTTTCCTAGGATATCCACACGCTAATGTAAACAGTAGATCTGATATCAACCAATCTATCGGCTTATAACTCCATAAAACTCTCAAGTAATCAGACACAAGAGGTAGCATCTCCCCAGATATAAGCTTTCCTATCGCTCCAAATTTGCAATATGAAATTATGAAAAGATCTTCTCGCCACGATGACTCTGCGTGCTGAAAATAAAATGGCGTAAAAATTCAGAAACCTATGTTTTGTGAAACATTATTTTAATCAAGTCCACAGTTTTATTCCTGTAGTTTGTTGAATTAAAACAGTTTACATTGATTACATCACATATAGCTTAACGTGGGATTCAGCTTCGAATCTATCATTGGTAGACCATGTTTCTTTGGATGAGTAGTGCCCTAGCTAAAACTCAGTGGTTTGACAACCAATAATTGGTTGTCATAATTAAAATGTGATCGCAATAGAGTGGGTATAGCTCAACGGTGGTCAAACCGCATTCGGCTCGCCGGAGTTTTTGTGAGGCTCTTCTCGCTAGCATGTGTAACAGTATCAGTAGTGTAACAGTTTTTAATTTATTAAGCAGTAGAAGGAGTTTACATTAATGATCAGGACGAAGTATGTTTTGGTATGAAAATTGTTACAGCGTGGACTTTTGAGCCAGTCAAGCAACAAATCTTACGTCACAATGATCAAATGTATGTTGACGCGTTGGCGGTATTGTAGCTTGTTCGGGGTTAGTCTCAGTTACAGTGCAATATGTCCTCAAATAAGAAGTGGAAATACGAAGATGTGAACAGAGTTGTCAAGTCAGACTGAGAAGAAGAATATGCATTCACTAATCAAGAAAATCAACTTTTTTGATTAATCTATTATAGGCTGCTAATCTACAATAAAGTCAGAAATGTTGAACGGTACCATGAAACGAATCATAAAAACTTTGTACGAGACTACCTCGTAAATCAGTTGTAAGACAACACAGATTAAATGACTTCAACTTAATACTAAAAAGAAAGCAGAAATTTATGACATCATTTGGCAAGGAATCCGATACATCAATTGAAGCTAGTTTTGTTATACCATGGAATATTGCTCGTGCTAAACACCAATGTTGTCGCAGTCAATAGCCCAAACGCTGGTTTTGCGTCGCACTACATAAAGGCGCATCTTCCAAATTAGTATATATCATTGTAATAGGTAAAATGCAAAATGATTTAATGAGTTCTAATATTCATAATTTCATAAATTATGCGGCTCTCTCATATCTTTGATTTGCTGCATGCGGCTCTTATACCAAAACAAATTGCCCACCCCTGGCATAGCTAATTATGTATAAGTATCCACAGAAACAAAGATGCCTTCGGAAAAATAAATGGACGGCTTTCAACGTGGATATACTTTCAGTATTACCATGGTTAGATATCCTATTCAATATGGTTAGCACTAGTACTCGAACAAACATATTTCACATGGCAACATCACAGTATGAATGATTTCTGAATGACCAAGCCATCGGGCTGAAGCTCTTATATTCTAAATAGTAATATGATGAATGTAATCGATTGTTTCTTTGGGTACTACCCAGAGTGAATATAACAGCTGTACAAGTTCAAAACGACTGTTAGGCTGAGAAATAATGAACAATTCAACAAACCTTATAAATAATATTAAGGTAATCATCTACTGCGGTGACGTCATCTTCCAGCATCAAATAATATTTGGGATTGAGTGAATAAGCATATTTCATCAAATATGATTCATCAATATTATGCTTTGATCTCCACTTTACTCGTCTCCTGGAATCTCCGAATGTCAATTTCAACTCTTTGTCCCAGTTAGGATAAATATGATCAGGAGGATAGATTATCTGCAATTGCGAAATAAAGTTATAATAGTTTTTAGCGACAACAACAATTTTTAACCACTAAAAAATTTGGAGGTAATTGGTCCAATAATTGCCACGAATTTATTACAACACTAAGAAAAAGAATACTAACAATAACCAAACGATCTATAGGTCCACTTTGTGTCCAATTGACAACTTTATAAAGAAAATATAACAAATTTGATTTGAGAATTGTCCCTGTTATGGCACAGAGGAAGCATATTGCGATGCAATCCCATTTACACATTTTTTAGATTATCTTATGTATGTATGTATGTTTATTCGTTTCGTAAAAGCAAAAACACAGGAGTTAGTAAATATCAACATTGAAGACGGGATGTATACACAAGACCATACTGGCCTAAAACACATGAAAGTGCGGCATACACCCCCTATGATAAGCATAAAATGCAATAATCAAATAAGTATAATAATATGGTCCTTCATACAGACGGTTGTGCAAGGAGGGTGGATGGGTAGCAATATATGCAACAGGGGTAAGGGTGGAGTATGCCCAACTGTTTGTACAAAGGAGTTGGTAGGACAAGACAACATCAATAAATAGAGACAATACAACATGGAATAGAATACATGTAAACATAATAATAAAATTTGGACATATATCAAATATAGCACCCTTGAGTAATGATACCCCACCTAGTCCGGCAGAATCGGGCCTTAACATTGTTTTGGGACACAAAGTTTTTTTTTATTGTTTAGATATAATGTATATGACATATATAATGACACCCAGATGGGCGTGGAGTATATAATGTTGAGCAATTTTTTTTAAGTGGATTTAAAGTATTCGGTCCAAGATGACGCACATCCTGAACCCTAACCCGGTAAACATACAATGTTCAGGTTGTGCGCCATCTTGGTACGAATACTTCAGGAGCGCCTTTTTGTTAAAAACAATTATTTCATAACTACATGGTTTAGTTTTGCATACATAGTAACATTGAATCTGCTTACAATGTCAGAAATTCAATTTTAGTAGAATAAATGGTAGTTTATTTCACTGATATAAGCCAAGATCCATCGACAGCATCTAGCCACTTTCTATTGCGCTCTTCAAACTACATTTGCGTTGCCGCGCGCATTTCGTTTTCCTAGTTTAAGCTTAGGGACTTAGGGAATATTTTATTAGTTGAATTGGATTGGAATATTTGACCTCGTCTTTCACTCCGAACGAGGCCATGTAAAACCATCCACTGGTATCTAAAGATGTGTAACGTGTTTTCTTTTGGAAGAACCGCAACCTTTCAGTGCTGCATTGACTTTGGCAAAATTAATATATCCTAGTGGAGATAGAAGGTATGCGTATGCGAAACCGAGATGTGCACCTGTTATGCCAACATAGTTGAGTCAAACGTTTTGAATACTAGTACATCACACACATTTTCCTGCATGCTTCGGTTGTACGTAGTAACGCGCACATTTTTGCGCACATGCATCAAATTCCACTTGATTATTGAGCTATAGGTTTTTGACGATTCATTCCATAGAATTTGTATGCTGTTCTAAAGAATACTAGTTTCAGCTTTTTCATTCATCCAAACCGCGTGTTGAAAGTAAGTTTTGTAATATTGCGTGTTGGTTTTCAACATTCTTAAATCGGTGATGCCAGTGAATCTTTAATACAAAAAGATCAGTAACATCTGCCATGAAAACAGCAGTGCCCACTCAAATGATAGCTGGGGGATGGATACTCTTAGTATCTGCTCCATCGCGTGCCTCTTACAGTCTCACCAGTTTACATGAGTGCCAATTGGTATCTAAGCTCAGCCAGAGACAAAAAGTTTCGGACTGCAGTTGGCGTGACGAAATGTTTTTAAATATATATTCTACAATGATTGCATACTACTGAAAGTTCCGCCTTATATGTCTTTTCCCATTGCACTATTCCTTTACTGAAATTCGATAATATGACGCTCATCTGACATAGTTCTTAAAGTGTGTAGATGGGTATAATCTTTTCCACGCTGTTCAGAAGGGAATGCTCGAATATATATAAGAATTGCTAATATTGGTTTGCAATGCGATAAAATCCCATCTTGGCATTTCTGCCTCTCGCAATTGCTGCGTATACTTATCGGGAAGTTCTGTGGCGTGGTTATCAAATGAAAAAACAACAACATGGGAGTATTTTTTCTACTTCTCTATACTACTATCAAACCTTGACATTTTGTGAAAACTTTTTTCCATGCAACCTTTTTTCAAAACATCCTCAACAACCACAATTAATTCTGTTATTAAACTTTCGAAACAAACACATAAAATCATCAACAGCTGCATATCACCAAGTAGATATTGTTGAATTGATCTTTATTTTACCATTTTTCATGTAATTATTTTTGGTAAACCTGTTATCTATCGTAAATACAGCACATTTGACAATGTTGTAGTGTGACTTTTTTGGCCTCACATTTTTGATATTTGTAGTCAGAGCTCTTGGGGCTCTGTCAAACAAAGTTACATACAAAATATTGGTTGTAAATTGCAAAACATGATCATGTTGTTGGAATAACTTGGCATTTTACCACCCGTATATCATTCATTGTTGAGAATATTAATAAAATCATAAAATTTAAAAATCAGTTTTTGTGAAATTTTTGTTGTAGCTGAATTCCATGGACAGCATGACAACAGGCAAGAGAAGCACGGTCGCCTCTTTTAGTTTATGACAGGGTTTCTTAAAAGGAGACCCCGTCCTCCTTGGAGGCCGCTGATCGGTTATCTGGGAGCACGAACAAACAGATGGAAATGCGAATATATAATAGCAATGTATTTTTATAGAAAAGAAGAAGCAAAAGTGTTGAGAGTCTTTGGTAGTTTGAAAAGCATTGGCATGGAACATAAGAATGAACTACATTCTTTCCCAGGGATATACTATAAAATGTAGCAATTTTCTCATTCTTGATCTCGTGATATCATTATTTTTCACTGCGTCGTCGTGATCATCCCGCTGCATAACAATTCTCGCTAACAAATAATTGACTGTTCTCCACCGGGTGTATATCCACTTGAACCACTGGCGACTGCATTAGCAGGCTTGTATATTTAATTGCAACAAAAACGGGTATTTTGAAATAGTACTCTTTATTTTACGCGTATGCTTCGACAGTATTTCCATATACTGTATATGGGTCGCGACCCAAAGCTGGGCTCAACAAATACCTAAAAGTTATTTGATTTTATTTCCTAGTAAATTTGGTGCTTGCGAAGTTCGTGCACCAAGATTGCGCACAACCTGAACATAGTATTGTAACAGGTTATGGTTCAGGTCGTGCGTCATTATGATGCACATATTTGACGAAAAACACTAATACAAATATCTCAATAAATACCTAAAAATTGTTGATTTTATTTCCTAGTAAATTTGGTGCTTGCGCAGTTTGTGCACGCACCAAGATTGCGCACAATCTGAACATGTATTGTAACAGGTTATGGTTCAGGTTGTGCGTCATTATGATGCACAGGTTTGACGAAAAACACTAATACCAATATCAAGCCGTAAAAAAAATTGCTCAAGGCTGCAAACTCCACACCCATGTAGAAATGATTGGCAATGACCCCAAGATGAATAATCACAAATAAAAAAAACTTTATGTTTGAAATCGAACTTGGGTCAAAAAGGTCCCCTTATCTGCTGGACTAACCCTATAAATGGGAGAAATAGTCTAGTTTAAAGGTGTATGTGCATATATGGTATGTACCACTCAAGGGTGAGTGTCTTAAGTAATATATGGCCAATCTAGCAAAAATGCGTTCCTTCCAGGCTTGGGGAAATGCGATGTAATAAGTTCAGTGAAGTTATTCGCTTTTCCAAGTTACTTTGTATTTTATAGTCCTGAATACCGCCAAAAAAGATCAGGATTCAAAAAAAGATATTCAGGTTGCATTTCCATGAAACCTTTCATGATCGCATTTCAGCCAAACAATTTGAAGGTATAAAAGTATATTGAAATAGAGAACAATAAATTATAAAGAGTATCATTTTGCCATGTCATGGATTTTGAATTAAAATAATAATAGAATATGGTATCCTGGGATGAATTTGACAATAACCGTTGTCCCTATTGTTTGCTGCATTTAAATGTTAATGTACCTCACTTTCTACAACCTGAATTGATGTTTTTGTCTAATTAGGCATGATAATAAAATAAGAACATTAATATAATTAAATAATATGATATCCTGGAATGAAAAAAGAAATGAGATTGTTTAATTTGGTACTGGGCGACAATATTGGAATGAAGTCAAAGCAGCATGCTATATTAACAGTGTCCATTGTCCTTATTGTTTGCTACATTCAAATTTGAATGTAAAGCTACTTTTTACTGCTTGCAAATTTCGCACTCTTTTCTGTTCATCACATTTCTTCTGTGTAAGTATGGACATAATCCAACTAAAGATCGATAATTTTTGGTGTGTTGATATGTAATGCGTGATGATCATTTGCGTTTATGCAAACCTGTGACAGTAACTCAATGAGGCCTTGATTGAGACTCATTGGGTACTGGTACTTTTGGGCATACTGGAATTATTTAGTACATGTTTATTTAAATCATCGATGTTATAGTATGATCGTAAAATCCGTTCAAGCAGCACTTCAAAGTTGTTTTTACTGCCATGTTTGAAGTATTAGCATTTTGTAGTATCAGGCAGGAATATTACACGCAAGTCATGCTTACAGCTTGATCGAACTCTAATTCTCTCAATAAACTAGAGCCGCCGGAATGAGCTACTTAATGAATTCTTGATACGGGGTCCTGGCAAAATGGAATAATATATTATAGAAGACTGAACATCAAGGTAGAAATACTTGGAAATTGTCTCGATATTAACTATCGGTATGACATGGGATTTCGGGTATTGACGGCAATTACTTGGCATAAACACTGCCTACGCCAACGCAAGCTAGCTTTTCAACACGGCATTGAGCGATGTGTAACGTACCTCCAATATTTTCATTCAAAGACTCTCAAATAGTTTTCTTTGAGTGTCAAGTTTTGTTTAGTCCAAGTTTTTTCATGCAAACAACTCAAATCATTTTAAGTCTTCAACAACGATCGCTTGAGTATTGTAAATGACTAGAGTCTTTCCATTAGTTATTAGTTAACATGAATATCATATATATAAATATTTTGAACGGCGAGGTCAAATATAGCTCGCGGATTCCTGTCACAACGAAATTCGTATTGCTTTAGTTTAGGTCCGCACTATGGTCATTTTTTTTAATAAACAACAAATCCAAACTAACAACCAACCTGAATGAGACCACTTTTTACTTCTTCAGCATATCGTTTTTCAATCGTTGCAGTCGTTTGCTTCCTAATCTCTTTGTCTATGTCAGCAACAAGAACCACAAAAACAACACTCGAGAAAGATCTGTTTCGTATCAACGAGTCCAATGTTCCGACCAAATAATTAACTCCCTTGATCCTCTTAACTGTTGGGATACCGACTACTATATACAATTCCCTTGCATATGAACCCGAGACATTTCTTCTGGGAAACGAGTACGACACCCGAGCATGACCGCTTTCAAAGTCAACGTCAGCCTTCTTCTGGTGGCCTGGCATGCTTTCCGCATTATTCCATCGTTGGAAATTGTATTCCCCTTTTTCGTATTTGGAAATTGAAACTATCAAAAATGCCAAAATAATTATAAAATTCACAAATCCCATCGCAATGCAGATTGAATTTTTCGGCGTCCCACGAAGTCTCATTTTTTCGTCTAGATTGCGAGCAATAGAAAGCATACACTTCAGCTATTGTTACTTCACTGCCTGTCTGAAAATACTAGGATCTTCATGAGTCAATAGTTACATCATAAAAGGTCGTGTTACGATTCGATTGTTATGTCAGCAAGAGGCGTCAAAACACCAAAAGACTACAAACATAGTCAGTGCAGTTAATAGTATACGCGGAACTGCATACCGGTATTAATTCCAAAATGATTTTATATATTTCGTACTAACAGAGCGGCGATTTTACAACATCATGTAAGCCTACATGAAGAACCAGAACAATAAAATTGTAATACGCACGGCCAAAAGTAGCGATGGTTTGTTATGATTTCGCAGTGTTTTGGGCTTTGACTTTCTGGCTATGGTTGTTTCCCCGACTCCCGAGCATTGATTTCCCTGTTTATTGCCGTTACCATGAAAAATCAGCAATAAGTCAACAATGACGTAACAATTGCAATTTGTGTGGCCGCTCAGGCAGATATTCAAGCATGGTTGTAAAAATTGTTTCGTTTTCGTGTTTTTTGCATGTTTTTTGTCAGTTTTCAGTTGTGTTTCCAAAAAATAGGTGTATATAGAATAACTTAATTGTAATTATGTCTTCCGAGGTGCTTTAGTTTAGTTTCAATATTTAAAAATTGATACCGCAAACTTTGCGATAGACTAGCCAAAAACTAGGTATCAGTGCATGTAAGTGGCACGTGCCACGTGGTGTATTGTTTTGAATAGAAGTGATAGTTTTGAACATGTGAGCCAGTTTGTAAGGGCTAATTCAAAACACTCTCAAAATAAGAGTTGAAAATTTTGCAATGGTAAAATACAGGGAGAGTTTTTCAGGGGTCGAGGAAACGTTCATTACAAAACTAGTATAAATTGTTAAATATGCCCGCAACTAGATTGTAATCAACGATTACTTTTTGTTAAATGATGAGGTTACGATACCCAGAAAATTTTTTAATCAATATAAATTATACGAAACGAAAATTTCAAGTTGGCTATTTAGCAGAGCAGTCGTAGTTGCGAGACAAGGTGAAAGTGAATCATCACCATTCACCACAAAACATAGGAAAAGTCAGGTTGTTCACATACTTTCACTTTATTATGGAATTAGAAAGAGAAACTACATATATTATATATATATAAATACAGGGTGTTGAAAAAATGTTACGCAAAATTAGGGTAAAGTTTTTCATCATGGCAATGGTAAAAAAGTAACTGTTGAAAAGCGTCAGTAATTCAATACTGTTAAAAGATTGCCGTCGTTTTAAGTAGTATTTCATCTTAACTTCTGTAAATTTTGCGTTACTTTTTTACCTTATATGCTCTTAAAATTCCCATGAATATTTAACACTAACTGCTTTTGTATTGTGGTGATGGTTACCGCATATTATATTTTCTGGCTTTTGTTAACACTAGTTGATTGCTAATTTTTATTCAAATCTGAACGATAAAAATGAAATTCTAGGGAAAAAAACAAATCAATCGGTCACCCCCACCCAACCACCTTTCACAACTTTTCTCATTTCGAAGTACACAAGTAATTCCCACCCTCAATATTATCAATAATAAACGAAGTTCAACATGACATACAAAATTTCTCTACGTCTCAAAAAGGTTGAATTGAAAAGCTAGATATTTATATGAAAATGTTTGTTGTGTGCATAAAACGGAAATAGAATAGCAAGTTCAAAATAAATTTGAGACGAATTTATGAGAAGAACGAAATTCAAGGTAAATTTGAAAAATCCTCGACAGCTTTTTCTGCGAAGAAAATTCGCATGTATACCGTGTCCGCGAATTACACGGAGAATCATAAATGTATGCTATTGGTCTAGCAAAAATGAAAGCGCAATCTTTTTCCTTCCTTTTGTAAGAATCTGTATAATTACTCGGCTGTCTTGGGGCCCAACGGATACCATTCGATTCCGTTATGACTCCGTCGGACCATTCCCATATCCCCTCCAGTCTGATATCCTGAAGTACGATCCAGGCATTCAAATAGACAGGTAGAAAACCACGGTACATAATCATTGAATCCACATTCATAAAATTCGTTTTATGAATCACCAATTTTATGAAATAATAGTCTATGAGAAGTATTGACAATAATCGTCTCGTAAGACGGTATATATATGTACACAAAGAATGATGCAATGGCGAAAAATCGTTGAAAAAGGATATATATACTGAAAAAGTACCCATCATATAATGATCTCAAAAATTCACTGATAGAAGCTAAAATACCACTATAATCTCTTACAATTGAAATTAATTTCTTTTTCCCGCAATTTAACCATTACGCAAGCTAGTACACATCGTACGACTGAACTATCTCAGTCGATTATGTCGCGGTAAAAATATGGGCAATTTTCATTCTTCACTAAAATTATGACACCAAGGAAAAAGTTGTAAACAAATTAATATCGTAAATATAAAGGAGGTATATTTCATAAGCGTACGTTTTTTTTTGCTTCTGGAGCTCTGACTTGAATAACCTTAATAGAGTGTGTGATTTTAATCATATACTTATATTATTATTTGGCTGCCACCCTATATTATGTAAAACCCAGACAATCAACGTAACCGGCATACTTTGTGAAAGAAGGTTCTCTTATAACAGAGGATGTCGTCCACCGATGTTAGCACAAGGTCTTATTGGCTTGCTTGTATGTTGGCCTATGAGGAAATTGTTTGTACCAGAGGCCATTACTTGATTGGAACTTCTGAACACGATATCGATCAGAAATGAAGTTCGTTCCAAAATACCTAAATCATAAATGGCAGAATTGTTGGGAGAATTAGCAATAACACCTTCTGTGTTCCAATACAACCAACAAGCATCGCAAAAATAAGACATGTTGTCGCAATAGTGAAGATATTCCATTGTCAACGATGCACCTTAAAACTTAAAGTTTTGAAGGAAAAAACATGCCAAAATATTGCACTTCTGAATATGAAAATAGAATTAGAAATTGATTATCACTGGTAACTGCGAATAAAATATCTTGGGTTCACAACTTGTTTCGTTTTGAGATTTTGATCTGGTCTCTATTAAAGATACACTATTATAGTACACTAAAATTTACATTAAGCAGAAGTCTGTCTCAGAAATTACTCTGTAAAAATCAGTTTCAACGCAGAAAATATCTCATCCCTACATAGTTACAAGCATTCTTGAAAAAAGATCAAACTTCTTTTGAAACTGTTACAGATAGGCTTTATGCTCGATTAAATATAAAAAAAACGGTTGAATGAAAGTATGAACCAAATTAGCGGTTACGAAATCAATGTCTGGCCGTTTGTTTGTACATTTGCTCAATATTTCCGCACATTTTTAGAAATACCCAGTCATCCGCACACTGATATATATATCTTGTCATATTTTTTCTCTATATTCAAGTTGTTGCCGCATATAAATATGCCACTGAATCCCACTCACGAAAATTTTAATTCATATTCCGTATTCATATCCTCTTTTGGCACTTTTCCAAAATCTCACTTATCTTTTACTTTAATCCTCTATTCTATATAGTTGCCGCATCTATGATGTAACAAAAAGTAGAGTCAATTTTTCTTACTGGTATCGTGGTGACTTTCTGGAATTTTATTATTTATTTTTCCATCTCCAATTGTAAGCCAGTCGAGGATCTTCCTGGTTGTCATACCTTCAGGATAAAAATCTTAACCAGTGAATGATTCAGAATCTATCCATACACCTAAAACAAAAACAAAAAAACTTGTTATAATTAAACTTCAATAAAAATAATTTGTGCGCATGAGTTTGCCATAGCATCCTGGCGCATTTTCGTTACAACTTGGCTAATCGTTTTGTAGCAGGTTAGTGCTATAATCTTGGAAGTCTCATTTTTCAGCGTAGCGCACAATTTGAATAGTATAATTAAAAGACAGATGTCACAAATAATAGAAAATGTCCTTAAAATATGAATGAAATTTGGTTGGCAATTCAGAAAGTATCGAACTTACAGCCAAATATTTAGGTTGCGACATTGTCTGCATTGCAGATGAATTTTCTTGTCTAGTGCATGAAAACTCTCTATTATACTATATTTATCGAAAATAACTTTAATTTCATTGTGACATTGTTTTATTTAATTCTAAAAGTTTACTTTAAATTCGTTTATAATGTTAAATTGGGTAACATTTATGATATATATTGATTTCAGTAACCAGGCAACGACTCTGCAGAAAACGAAAGTTTTGAATAATTTCCACGCAAATTTTGTTTTTTTGCTGGAAGGCGATTATCAACAACGTATCTCATATTATGCAATTACTACGCACTGATAGACTCATATACAAGATACACGACATATGTTTTTGACGGAATGCATTGATCGTAACTTAATTGACATCGGATAACAAACAGCAACTTGCATTAACATCAAGTTTTTTTTATAACAAACCGACCCCCAATAAGGGCTACTATTAATTCTTTAAAAATGAGCCGATGTTTTGCGAGTTTTCTTGAAGAGCGTATAAATTCTAAATAAAGTTGATTTGCATAGAAATATTATTTTATTTCAATTACACATATCAAAATAACCAGCCAATCATACTTTCTGCGGAGTTAGTTGATTTGAATAACATCAAACTTTGTTTTGCTGGTGCTCACCGAATCATATCCACTTGCTTAATATATTAGCAATAGCTATTAATCGCATTTGTAGTTCAAGCCAGGGGTGTGCAATCTTTCATACAGGAGGTTCGCCTCGCACAAGTTCAGGTATAAGACTCGGGTATACGCTTGGCAGCGCAAAAGGATTGGGATTACACGCCGGTACTAAATTAACCTAATTTAAAAACTCGTTTAGCGGGCCCCACACCATTTTTTCCGCAGGCCGTATATTTTTTTCTTGTGGGCCGCATTTGGCCCGCGGGCCGCAGGTTGGACACCCCCGATTCAAGCCATTGGCGAGTTGACGTTGCTGATGAAAACTTATCGCAAGAATCACTTGAAACGCAATGAAAAGACCTGATTTCAGTCAGGTATTGATCTAACTGAGCTAATATTAATATGGACGACTACGAGCAACCCAGATGGAATATTACTGGCGTGACTGGATCAAATTATACTTGTGTTAAAGTGAATTTGACACTTAAAATCGAAAGTATTGGATGTGATTATTCTACTTTCATTTTAGATGTTACTGATGACTTTCCATATAGTGCGTCATAATTTGAACATATGAGCAAAAATTGCTTCATATTTTTGCAAAAATTACTTAGTAATATGTATATATTAATTGTACTCGGGAACGAGATATGTCTCATCATTTTTACGCATTGAAGCAGGATAATGTTATTCAATGAATCTCGTGTTTAAACTAATGTAGTGTTTTTCAGGTCTGTATGTTTCTTTTGTGTACCTATATTTAAGCAAACAAAAAGCAAATATGGGTCAGTTTAGAAATATCCTTCCGCGTTAGACAACTGTAAGTCATTTGCTAAAAGGCTGTGGTTGTACGAAATGAATAATTTAGTCTTTGCAACAAGGTACCCCTAAGTATGAGTATCACGTAGTGATAAACGCCATTCAAGTGACTGAAGAATTTGGGACTTAAGATTAAAGCTATTCCTGGATTCGCGTCAAATTTAGTTTTCACAACTTTGATTTGCCGTTGGATGCAGATGAACATTTTTTTCGAAACTTTATTCAATGCATTTTACAGAATATTACTTTTGACAATATTCAAAACAAGATGACAACGACAACTAATGTGAAATGGGTGACATTCGGTAATGAATATGAATCGCCCCCAGAGGAAACCTCGGAAACGGCAAACATACCAAAAGGTGAAAAAGTTGATAATTTTTCTTTATTGGACGAAATGTACATATGGACCGTTTTGTTATCGCGTTTTTGTTGTTCATCTTGATAGGTTTTTTTTTTTTTTTTTTAACAGATTAGTGATTCATAATGATTAAATCAACTACAATAGCCATAAGTTTATTCACTTTTTGTCGTGAGAACACAACATATTTACTCCATTTTGTGTCCACATTCTCCAGTATTTTCATCTCGAGTAATCTTTATAAGAGTTGGAATGTTCATAGCTTTATTTTGTCTAGTGATTATTTAAATACAGTTTTTTTCATCTCAATCATTAGCTTTTTCAAATGTGTGGTATAGTGTTTCTTAACTGGAGGCAGTGGGTGCACAGTGCATACTTTATAACCTGTCGTAAACGTCTGCGCCCGCTTTATGTTGTTGCTGGTGTTAGTATTCGTTTTCTTATTGTTATTATTGTTGTGAAAACCCTACTTTTGTTTTAGCTACTGGACCAATCGCTTCAACATTTTCCGTGGTTTACGATTGTTATCGTAGCTGGAGGGTCATCACTTTTCTTTATTTCATTTATGTATTACTTTTAAAATTTCTCTTGGCTTCATGGGATTCGTTTAAAGTTGTGTGTCGTCATTAAAAATTACACACCGTGTGCGGTTCCGCGATCGCATCTGTATGGTTTCAGCGTAAACGGGAGTTTTTTCAAAAGAAAGGCAACCGGTACTGTAAAAGATTTGATACTTCTTTGTTTGCACATTTGTACGCCCATATTTGAGTATCACCCTCTTGTTCAATCAAAAAATAATCAAATTATCGTTTTTATAACATTCAGCTGAAGTAATCCAGGCTGGTCATCCACAACCACTTGATCCTACGAAGATGAAAAAATCGAGCAATGGGAGAATTTCGTTTATGAATGTATTCACCTTGTTCTCAACTATCGTCATTCTGATTCTTCTTGTAGTTTGTATGGCGCTGCTGACAAAAGAGGTGAAAGTTAAAATTATTCGAAATAATTCACGACTAAATGTTTTATAAAAACAAAATGGCGTAATTACTAAGTTTTTGTCTTCGTGTTTACGCGTATTTTAACCTACATAGACGGTGACGATAAAAAAAAGTTATCTTGTGATTTTATTTTGATACTTCAATAATTTACGAAAACAACTAAATTGAATTTAAATTCTTAACCTATGCTACCAAGTTTTAATATTTGTTAGAAATATTGTTCGTTAAATTTAGAAATATTGTTATAATATGGTTGTTCCTTCATGGATATTTAAATTCTCATTTTGCATGTTGGTCTTTTCAAAAAATCTTATACCGGTTTCTCGTAAATACTTCTATAAGTAGTTTTATAGGGGTTAAGTATTTACACATAATTGAACAACCTTTTTTCTTTCACATAATATCATAGAAAAAACAACCTCCGTCACTTCTGAGTTCACTTGGTTTCCAAAACCTTTTTTCAAGCACTACTACCATTAAGACCACCACCGAAGGTACGAAAATCTTATATTGCTAATTTCAATAAAATAACATAATGCTGCTCGTGTAAAACATGCGCGGAAACTTAAACACAATGTTCAAATCCCCGACAATTTAGCGAATATTATGCAACCTACACCCATCCCTAATATAAACGGGTTCACTTTAGAAAAACTGACTAAAATAAATAAATTAAAAGATACACTGTTTTAAACGTCATCAAAATAAGTCATCTTCAATTTGGTGTTAGTCAATAGTACAAATTACAGTTCTAATAAACACTATGATCAAACAATTCAAATCACCGTATTGTGTACCCTAATGAAACTCATAACTTGTTCCCCTCTCATAGCTCCAATTTTCTACACTTTGTAATACAACTGTCTAATTTCAAGTAAAAAAGCCAGAGACCGACCGAAATGAGATAAAAAATATCTGATCACCAAGTTAAGCCCAACTAGGAAAAATAATCATGAATAAGCTTAATCCAATTTTGGGCATGTGCTGGGATACTATTTAAAATTCTAATGCCATGAGAGCCTAAACAAATCACCTCCAAGCTCTGTTTAATCTACCTTATGTTTGATTTTAAGTTTTTTTTACACTCTTTCAACTCTCAAGTAATTAATTACGCCCTATAGTTCCAGGAAATGCGAATGAAATGCGTATGCTGACTCTGGTTGAAATTTTGGTGAGGGAAGCCGGTTGGTACGAAGCAAGTAACGGATTGTTGTACAAGAGATTTGATAATTATGCCAACTTCGAATTGGCTAACAGAACTTGCTCTTCGTGGAAAGGCAGATTAGCTTCTACAGGAATAAGAGACCTTGATATAAGAGAGTGAGTATATTTTTAAGTAGAATTATAGGACACAGAGTGAACCTAAGAATCGTTTTGTTATTACCGTATGTTGTTGTTGTGGAAAATCGCCTACTGGATCAGTTACTTTTAAATTTCCAGCTTGTCGTTGTCGCTATTATCTTTTTCATTTGAAAAATTTTAGCAGGCTCTATGATGGGATACGCTTTGTAGTTTTGTGTGATGACGTCATAGAAATTAAAAATTGCGCAATCTGATGTTCATACTATGACTACCCATACTGTAGAAGATTTGATACTACTTCGTTGTGTTATTAGTTTTCATATATTTGAGCATTGCTCTCTTGTTAAAAATTATTTTTATCTTCAAGGTAAATATTTTTTAGTTTGGGCTCAAATTCCATGAAATTAATCGTTATTCATAGACATCCACGTAGATAAACTGCTATACGGATGCTTAAACACAACGTAAAAATAGATGTCCTTTCATGCTGTTCCGCTACATTACATTGCGTGAACCAAACTATAATAAGAATTCATAACTGTAATTTGAAATCATAACTTTCACTTTAAAGGTATCATGATTTTGGGTGTGCAAAAACGTGATTTAATTGTGCCAATCCGTAATAAAAAATGTAGACACAACCAAATAATATTATTGGCAGGTTTAGTCTAAAACGTATCGGATGACAGTAAATGAAAACTGAAGAAATCTTCGATTGTACATTAACTGAAATTTGTAATATTTTCTATATTTCACAGAGAAATATACAAGCGCTGATGTTTCAAAAAAATGTATTATTACCCCGTACATATGGATTGGATTTCATATATCAGCACTGAGGGAATGTGGGGAATGGTCAGACGGTCTTATTTCTGATATTGGCGAGGTTCCATGGCTTCCTGGCAACCAAGCAACTACACAAGTTTATTCTACGCAGACAAAGGGATTGCGCGTTCATGAATCATCGTGGCCGTTTTGGTGACGCATCTTGCACCATGCGTACCATTTTTATGTGAAATAGAAAACCGCTGTTCTAATATTCAATGCATGCTTTGTCAGATTGGTCGAATTGGAAATTCGGAATTTTAAAAAGTATTGTTCAACACTGAATGACGCTTTTCTGAAGAAAACTCTTTTTAGCGATTGCTAACACGTGTATTTACCGCAAATAATATCAGAGCAACAATGAGTCTTTTGATTGACTTAAGAGACGATTCGGCGCTTCAGAAGTATGTGTACCAAGATGGCGCACAACCTGAACCCTAAACTGGTACACATACCATGTTCAGATTGTGCGCCATTTTGGTGCACATACGTCTCAGTCTCTGAATGATTTTGAACTGTATATTCAACACGTTGACTAATAATCTTTTTTGTTTGTTTTTATCGTTCCACGATTCCTGTTCGACTTCGGGACTAATCCGTGTAAAAAACGCAACTTTGCTATAAGTCGAAGCCTTGCCCTGTAGATTAAAGTAACATGATCTCTAGAAAAAAAGGCAATTTTTTTTTAAGAGTTTTTATTCCAGCATGTGTTTCAATATATATAATTGTAAACCCTTGTAATCTTTTTTTTTTGTGGCATAGAAAGAAACAGGTTTTTTTCGTTAATTCGATTAATTCTGATTCCGAAGCACAGCTGCAATTTTCACTGGTAAGCTAGCTCCTGCGAAGGACTCTGGTAATCTCTTCAGCTTTGTTTCAGGTAGCAAGTCACTACATGCAGTTTGCTGAGAAAGTTTGATGTCATCCCAGCCTTTTACGGTTTTCAGTTTAGCGTAGACCAGTTTCAGTGTGTCGTCATAATATTGCTTGTCATTACCGACAGGACGAGAGAAGTAAACAGAAACTACTCTTTCTGAAATAGAAAATTCGGTGTTGAAATTTTATTGAAAGAACAGCCCGTCAGGGTGATATGGTAACGTCTTTTGCGTTCATTTCATGCATTCAAATTCCACTGCAGTCTATTTAAATTGGCCGACAAAAGTTTAAAATGTGCCAACCGCCTCTAATGCTGTATCGCCATATAGGGCCTACGTCAGTAATACATTACCAAAGTAACGTCATGGCCTGGCCCTAGCGGATAATTTATCATCATCGTCAGGGATGCTGTCTTGAAATGGACATTATAAATGGGTTAGAGAAGTGAAAAATGACTGAATTTAAACGATCTAAATGCTTATTCACGTTTACACCAACATCTAGTACATTTCTATTTGTCTACATATGTACCTGGCATACAAGCAAAAAACAAATGGTAGTTCACTTTATCAGTAATGACTGTCCAATTTCCAACCAAACGCCCAGTGAATTCTAAACAAAAAATTTAAGTAAATTTCAATTAGAAGTAATGAGACTAAGACAATAATAATTTTATGTGAAAAACCCTTTGTATACAACATCTTAAAAAAATCGGAAGTATTTTCCCTTTTACAAATAATTTACTTATATATATATATTATGCGGTTTGCTGCAAACCAATATTTTTAACTTTGATCATACAACGAAGCGACCCAGGCCGGCTTTTACTATCTTGTTACTTCATAATTTATCACCAAATATAAACAGTCTTAAAATGATTTTGAATTGGCAGGAGAAATATAGACTTAATGTGAACATCTAATCAAACGCGGGCTTCAAAAATAATTAACTTTAAACTTACGTTTTTTCAGTACCTCCACAAAAACAGGATCGTCGCCGACTAGAATGATAAGATAGTATTTTTGTTTAGCACTTTAGTACAAGAAATTGGACAAAAAATAGAGCAGTTCAACATCTTTGTGGAGTAGTGACAATGTGATATCCTACAGAATTATCGCAAAACTGTCGATAGTCTTCGGCTGTAGTAAAGAGACGTTTGAAGACACCTTATGAGTTTATTGCAATTCCGACAATATATACAGAAATACAATGCACACACAATTTGATCAAATCTAGTCTGATTAACACAAAACACATTGCTGAATATATAGCTTTTTTCAGAGCAATTAAAATATAATAAAGAAACAGATTTTTACATTAACAATTAAAGAATAACGCGTCATTCTAATTTCTGATTAGCTTTTCTGGTTAATCTCACTAATTATGAATCCACCAGGAGGGGAGAGCATAAAATTGAGGTTGACTTCGTGAGATGTGCTGTTTCTGGCGTCCACTCATCATAGCAACATCTTTGATTTCAATTTTTAGTCAGGGGTCTCAGCCATTACTGGCGTTCGACATATTTTGTCATATTCAGCATTTCGTATTTATTTATGAGCAGAGGCGATGGGACAGCTTAACAATTTGCTGAAATCATTTTTGTCACAAGCGCAGCGGTTTCCATTCATGAGTTACTCTCATTTAGTAGCGCAATCAGCGGTCGACTAGTTTTTTCGAATATTCCGGAGGGCCCAAACGACGCTAATGATGCGTGAGATGCGTTAAGGCCGTGAACAGCGATAGATTATGTCGGTAAACAATATTTCCGCGAATTCTTCCTATCTGGCAAGTAATTGTTCTCTTGTACATGTGCCACGTGGTCGTCGATGGAAAAAATTTTCTCGCCGGAAACTGTGCGTCTAGTTTGAAAAACTCGTTATAACGTGATCATTTGTGACGAGACGCTGAATATAACAAAATAATTGCATTCGCAACTCAAATTTTGGACTGAAAATGGGGGACTGAATATTAAGACAACATAAATTTTGTTTGAAGAGCGTCAATGCAACGAGCTAAAAACGAAATTATGTCGCAAAAGTAATTCGCCAAATTTTTCTGTGCCTACGGCAAACATTATATATGTTCGGTTTTAATATTTTATCGTACTGAAATAAATTGTACTCCTTGTTATTTTCTTGCCCATTTTGGGATTTTTTCAACGGCGATAACTTACGGACGGCAATTTCCGTTTTCGATGGAACAAAATTTACAGAAGATGTCGTTAGGTGCCAAGTCATCTGGCATTTTTCTTAGGAACTGTTGAATTTTTCATTTCTAACATATCATTTGGTAAAAGGGCATCATCAAACAAAGAAATCGCCTTTATTTCAGAAAATAAGATGATTTGAGATTGTACTTGACCAAAATGGCTACAAATTCCAAAAATCCATTGAAACGCATCTACCTTATTAAAAACACGATGATCCATGATTGGTTTACTTGCTTAATTTGAAAAAACTTTCTTGTGGCTTTATGTTTTATTGTTGGGACGATGATAATGTAAAAAAGTACTGCAAGGGGACGACGGTAAAAGCAAGTTTGAGTACTACTGATTTAAATAAACAATAAATGACAATTGCCGTTACGAGTCTAAGACAGCCAGGACCCTGAAACAGTAATTGAGTGCTGTCTTTTTATCTTACTCACCAACAGTATCACCCGCTAGAGTTTCGTAGGAAGATGGTCCATGTCGTATGTATTTATTATCCTTAGCATAAGCATACTTTATCTCGCCATCCCTGAAGAAAAAATATATTGAATTCCGGATATGTTACAGAGCAGTGATATATATATATATATACCAAAACAATGATGATTCACTGTATTGGTAGACATTATAAATGTATATGCATCACAAAAAGTCCGCAGAAGGGGATTTTTTTATCGTGATAATGCAAAGAGATTAACCAGAATTAAATTAGAATTAGATCTATATTTTCCGTGTATTGATAATAAACATCTTTAGCGGTTCGGAAAAATATTCTATCGAGAATCTAACCGATTCGAAAAAAACAACACTCAGTGACAAAAGCTGTAAAATAATTTGTGATTCCAAGTAACAAATATGGACTGACCAAAAACTCTGGCGTTGTCTCAATTCGCCAGACACCGTACATTTTGAACATGAGCAAAAACACTATATTGGTACTACTTCTACTAAAACTAATAAAAAACTACATTGAATCTACATTTATCAGGAATCAGAGAGTTCTTTATTTGTTTTTAATCATCGTATTCGTAAGTAAGAGTATTAAAATAACATACACGTTCAATGAGATCCCAAGATGTCTATACCCAGTTTCTACCGAATCTTCTGGTCCATGCCATCCAAACAGTGTCAAACACAGCGGAAAATCAGGATATCGGGTGGACAAATACCAGGTCCCTTGTTGCTATAAAAATAAGTTATTAACTCGAATACTGCCAACTTTTGGTTTATTTACGTTCAAACAATTTGTGTGATTTAAAACGCTGGAGGGGTCATGATATACTTTTAACTAATTGCTAATAAACGACCTAAATTTAAGAAAATATAATATCACAATTCCTGAACTACTTTTTATTTTTAACTAATTTTTTTTCAAAATGCTGTTAGTGTTCCTACGTGGGGATTGCCTATATGCGTAGCCAGATGCATGCAATACCAAACATTTTTTTACATTCTATTATTTGCAGTAGTACTTATGGTAAACAATAATATTTTTCATAATACATTAAAAAATAATGGAACATATTGTACCTCATTGAACGAAAACTCTTCTTCCATGGGTGGTAGCCTGCATTCTCCAGAAACAGACGCAACGATCACAAGAGCATTGAAACACACTGCTATAAACATATTGCTATACTGGACACCGAATGCAATCTGCAGCGCAAAAAACGGTCAATTTATGAGCCTATGTGGCGACGCTTAATTTGTTTTAGCCCGGGGCTATATAGCCGCGGTAATGTAGCTTATAGTGCCAAGCGTTAGAAATACGAACGCCACCGCACCTCTGATTACCCTACGCGGGTTCGCATCCCATTCGGGAATAATTATGTGCGAGATAATTATTGGACTCCTCGCGCCATATGGTGGTTTACGTAACCGCAGGTCGATTATGGCTTCCTTCCACCATTGAAGTCTGTAGTGAAACCATTGGAGGAAAAATCAATGAAAGCCTAGAAAACAAGAAAAACAAGTTACAAGAAGTAGCAACCTCGACGCACGCTAATCAAATAAAACCTTCGCATTGCCACGAGACTATAAACGATGGTGTCACGTTGGCCGCATTAGGTTGCGCTAATTCAATTTCATCACTATCACCCTACCCAGAAAGATCATGTATATACAACGGAATATAAAGTATGCAGGAAAATTACAAAAAAAAGAAATAGCAATTCGTACAATAAAGTTAGGAGATTCTATCTCCGTACCAATCCGGGCTCTTACGTATTCTACCAGAGCGACGAAGTAGAGGGCTTTCAGTATCTTCTACGGTTTACGAATTTTCACCCGAAGTAGAATTTAATTCTTGAGCTTCTGGCAAATCAGCGTCATTCAAGTCATTTTTGAGAATTGGAGTCTCGGTTGGTTTAGCTTTAGATTGGTCGGAACAGGGCGCCAAGTCTTTCACAGAAACTGTCGTTTGTCTTCCATCTAAGTGAAGTACCAGTGCATATTTGGAATTAGCATCCAATAGATCCACCACGTCGCAGAGAAGTTCGGTCTTTGTCCGAACAAATTTTCGGAGTAATTAGTCTATTACGAGACGAATAAACATACATACATACATACAACACACTACCTCTTGAAAGTAGCCAATTAGGGAGCGATTGGCCCAGCATCCGAGCGTCGTTGAAAACCAAATAATCGTTCATGAGGAGTCGAATTAGTAGACGTACATCATAGAGACCTTACGTTATGCATGCATCGGGTAAGGCAATTTCCCAGGCGGCCTCCGGTAATTTTTGAGAAGCCAAAAGTAGCTTTACAGTCTTCCATTACGTTTCATTGATCCTTTCACACTGCGCATTTCTTGTTGGATGGTACGGTGTATAATTGCTGTCATCAACGGCTCTGTTTGTAACATCTCTTGAGTGTCAGGCAAGTTGTAGCACTGAAAGTGCCTATGCGCCGTAAAGATCACACTGTATCACAGTTGTAGAAGTCATATCTTTACAAGGATAGGCAAATGGAAAACGACTGTATTCGTCAACAATTATCAAAATACTGCTTTTTACCGCAAACGGTGACCCTTGAAATCAATGCCGATTCGTTTCAGCGGACGAGTTGCTCTAATTAATTCATGCTTGTAATTGCCTTTAAAATATCGCGGCTTTAGCTCCGCACATTGCTGACAGTTGGAGCAAATGTGTTTTACATCTTCAGTAGAGAAAGGCAGATTCTTAGATCTGATGAAATGTGACAATCTCCTAACACCCGGGTGACCAAGTTGTTCATGAATACTTTTGAGGTCAAAATCAGGATTGCCAAAAAGGCAACTTATTCGAGACATAGTATCAGGGGCTACATTATCAATCCCGGCTCGATGAACAACAGTATAATTGTAGAAACTAAGTTCCGATTTCTACAATGACAATTTAGTGTTTTTAAAATTTTGCTTTTATGTTTTTTTTTGGAAAATGAAAGACAAGGCCAGTTGATCTGTAATTAAGCAAAACTTTCTTCCATGTAACAAATAACTCCATTTTCTGACTGCTTCTATAATAGAAGCAGCTTCTTTTTCAATTGAAGGGTACTTTATTTCACTTTTAGATAGTGTACGGGAAGTAAAAGCTACCGGACGACCACACTGATTTAAAATAGCAGCTATTGCGTTATTAGACGCATCACATTCAATGGTGAAAGTCTTGCTTTCATCTATACTCCCAAGGCAGGCATTTAGAAGATCGCTTTTCAAAATTCAAAACATCTGCATTGAAAGTGGAAACCCCTAATTTTGAGTTAAAGAAATTATTTTATCAGAAAATTTAGGAATCCATTTGGAATAGTAAGCAAACATTCCGAGGCAACGTTTCAAACTATTAGAATCCCGAGGAGGCTTCATATCGAGAAATGGTTTGAAATGCTGGGGATCCGGTTTAATAGTGTTATGTGATACTAGATGACCCAACAGTGAAAGTTCAGTAGCAGTATAAAAAGATTTATCTTGGTTTAAAGTTAACTCACAATCTTTGGCAGCAGAGAGAAATGCTTTGGTCGTGTTCGTCCTGGTTCGTACCATAAATAGTGACATTGTCCAAGTAGGCCAAAGTTCCCTTCAACTCGTATTTGGCAATGATAGAGTCAATATACGGCTGAAATGCAGCTACGCCATTAGTAACACCAAATGGAAGCCTGCAAAATTGATAAAGAGAGCCAGAAGCTTCAAATGCAGTTAAAGGTCTATCACTTATTGCCAATGGCACTTGGTGGTAGGCCGATTTCAAATCTATAATAGTAAATACACGTCCATTTAGTTACCTCATTTTTTATCTCGTCAATTTTAGGCAATGGGTAGGCGTCTAAATAGGTGTATCGATTTACCGTTTGAGAATAATCAATAACGAGACGTTTCTTATGCCGGGCATCTTTGGTCACAATAACTTGTGCTCTCCATGGGGATCTTGAAGGCTCTATTATACCTTCCCCAAGAAGACGAGATATCTCGCTTTTAATAAATCGACGATCGTCTGAACAATAATTTCTAGACGGAGCTGCTATCGGTTTGCAGTTGGGTTCAATAAACTGAAAAATCTGAATAGGTTCACTAACCTTTGCAGCAGTTAGGTTACAGGTTTTCTCGACATTTAGATCCTCATAAGCGCCATCAAACCGAAATATAACTCTTCTGTGCTTGCTCATGAAGTTATGCCCAATATAACATCCACACACAATGTTATTTATTACGCCAAAGTTCACATCTTTGTATGATTCGGAAATAAACCTATATATCGGCTGTCACAGAACCCAATATACGAGCTTCGGACTTCTTTGATGCTAGTGAAATTTTAGACATCGGTCCTTTTAAAGTAAGCCCAAGAGAAGAGGCGAAATTGTAGCCATTAATTATCAGAGAGCCAGAGATCGAGAAGGCATCAACTTGCCTGCCAGATATTATCGCAGAAACAGAAGCGAGTTTAGACTGCTAGGCACCACAGCAGCTAAATATGATTTTTCAACTTTGGCACGAACTCTTGCAAAGTGTCCGCGTCGACCACACTTAAAGCAATAAGCATTTTTGGCTGAACAATTTTCACGATTTAACCTCTACAATAACCACACCTTTTGACAACAAAATCGAAGTTTGAAGTTCTCGATGTAACCGCTATAGATTTAGATTTGCCATCACTTTTATCTTCTATGTCTGATACAGTTTTAGATGCTTCTTTCCCTGACAATGTGGTCATTTATTGGTCATTCACACATTCTTGATACGAGTGAGCAAACTTTTCGGCTCTGTCCAATGAATCTGCAATCTGAAGAGTTTTGTCAAGTGTTAATATTAATACCTCGTGCTCCAACAATTGTTGACGTATTTCAATCTAGGTATGAAAGCATCTCTTATTTCTTCTTCTCTATACATATCAGCAGATACTGCTTCGAAGTTGCAGTCTCCGCTAACGAAGACAATTGTTGGAAAAATTCAGTTACGCATTCGCCACTTCCTTGCTTATTCGTCGCGAATTTATGCCTGGCAAAAACGTCATTTTTCCTTTTTTTAAATAGCTTCTCAAATTTAGCCATAGCTTTTTTATGGTGACCGTACATTTGAACCCACGTACATTTGAACCCATGTGTATATCCACGGGTTCAATCTATATGCGGGTGCTAAAACCCATGGGTTAGGGTTAGTGTGGGTTCAACCATCCGAAAAACAAAAAAAAAATCCATATGTGCAATAGCATACAGGTGCAATTGCCATGGGTTCAAATGTACGTGGGTTCAAATGTAATGGAACCCTTTTTTATATGTTCTTAGTTCTTCAATATAAACAAACACATCAGGGCACATGTAGTAACAATAATTGTCAATCACAGCCTCTGTTGTTGTCGTCGGCGACGAAGATAAAGCTCTAGCTGTTTCTGCAGAATTTAAAAAGCTCTTGATCATGCGTTCCCTGACTGAAAACTTTTTGAGCATTCGGCAGTGTGTCCAAGAACGGTACACGAATAAACTTCTCCAATTGTTGAGCCATATTTTTTTTGCAGTGGGAGAATCAGCTAGTTTTAAGTTAATAAAATTGTAGTGAAACCATTCGAGAAATTCATTTAAGACTGTTTCCTAGGCTTTTATTAACTTAAAGATTACTACTATACTACAAAACAAAACAAGAAAAATAACAAGTTACAAGATGTAGCAATCCTGACGCGCGCTAACCAAATAAAACCTTTGCATTGCCACGAGACTATTAACGATGGTGCCACGTTGGCCACATTAGGTGGCGCTAATTCAATTTCATCACAAAGTCCAGGTACTGGTAATCGGATGACAGGCCGTGGTTTGCCATATAATCAAGCTGTCTTATTGGCTTTCCTCTGCCCCAGGATTAGTATGTAAATCATATCCTATCCAAGTAATCGAAGCAGTCAATTTATAGTATTTCTAAATTGAATGAGCATTGAAAAACAATAGATAAGTTTGTATAATTGATGTGGAGATATGCATGTGTAGCGAGTACATTAGGGTAGTTACTGTGTATTTTATTATTTTCACCACTTATAGTTAATAGTGCATGTTATTTGCCTGAAACAAGGTCGTTGCTCTAAGTCTAATTCATTTCCTTTATGATATTTGTCTCTCGCTTAGTATTGCTTGTCTTTGCCTTCTTTGTTAGTTAGAAATTTGGTTTCATCGCATATACTTTCGTTAAGGTTCTAAGTGTATTTGTTATCTGGTATTTGGATCAATTCGACTTTGCAAGTTTACAATATAGCCTACGGATATTTAGCATTCAATACATTGTGTGCTTTTTGACCTCTGAGGGAATCAAGATCGGAGTACACGGGAGTGTGGACACGCAGATAGGGTCATAGTCCCCTATATTTTGGTGATCTCGGCGTGATATTGTGTGCTTATCTTCTTCTATCAAAATTGAAAAACAAGTTATCAGTAATTAAGTCAATGGACAATACGCCAACATTTCAGGATTTAAGCAAAAAATCAATTTTCAGTCTCAGGCTGTATTGCAATTGAATAAGCAGTCGAGAAAACCAGGACGTTGCAGATTTTTGTCTCAAAACGAGGAATCTGAACCAGGACCTCCTACGATCAGACAGGACTAACTCAACTTCAACTCTTCATGTTCAACGCCCGAGTTCACGCTCGTGTATTTTTATTTTCCCAGCATCAACGCCCAAATTCTTTGAATTTGTGTCTCATTATCAACTTATATATTACAACTAAATGTTTTGTGTGTCAACCGGATCAGGAGATACGGACTTCAGCAGATCAATCCGCCTCATTACAATTTAAAGTTACCAGGACAACTTCATAGTATTACCGAATTTTCAAATGTGTTTATCAACAAAGCAAGCTTCGCAGGAAATAACATTGATATTATACCAGATCGATTTTGACGAGCATATGATATACCTAAGCCGATTTATTACACCAGGAAGCAGCATTTAGCATTTTAATATTTTCACCACTTATTGTTAATAGTGCATGTTATTTGCCTGAAACAAGATCGTTTCTCTAATTCATTTTCTTTATGATATTTTTCCCAGTATTGCTTATCTTCGCCTTTCTGTGTTAGTTAGAAATTTAGTTTCGTCACATACACTTTCGTTAGGGTTCTAAGTGTATTTGTTATCTGGTATTTGGATCAATTCGATTTTGCAAATTTACAATATACGAACATTTAGCATTCAATACATTGTGTTTTTTTTTGACCTTTGAAGGAGTCAAGATCGGACTTACATTCTGTTAACGTGTGTTCAATAACACGGGAGTGTGGACACGCAGATAGGGTCATAGTCCCCTATACATGCATGGAAACACATGAAATGTAAACAAACGTTTGTCATTTGATAAGTTATGATATATGCCTACATGGCATCAAAATTCGATTGAAGCGATTTTCAAACAGAGGTGGACCATTACTTTCTTGAATGGCTTAGGCTTACCATACGTCCCGTTTTAGGCGGGACAGTCCCACTTTCTACAGTCTTGTCCGGCGCCCCGGCCGGTCAGTCAAAAGTCCGCTTTGGCGTTCAGCCGGTCAGCATAATGACGAATATTATCCATTAGCATGTTCTCGTTACTGTTGTGGCTGTGTAGCGTATCGGTAGCCTACGTGCTGAAGGTGAACGTGGGACTTCGTTTGTTTCGTTGATAATTGGTACAATGTGTAAGCCCTGTACGTGTAAATTTACTAATGGCTCAAAACGAGAATATCCATTATTAAAAGAAACCGTTAATGACAAAGAGAAAGTGCACTACAATCATTGTGGCTAAATCCGAATTTTTTTGTATCGATAACGTCAATTCCTTTATATTTTTTGAAAAGAAATCGATATTTAGACAGAGAATATGCCCATGAACTCCCGATGACAATATGGCCATAGAAGACGGTCGGAATGGCTTTAAATGTAGGCCTATGTAGTGATATCGAAAAATGTAAAGGTAAAAATTACAGCTAATGGTCTTCAGGCGGCCCGCTTTGAAGTTCCAAAAATATAGTAACTCTATAAATGGGTCACTTACACAGATGATACTTTGATACTGGGCCGGATGAAAACAGTTTATTCACAAATAACTAGCATCGATGATTTCGCTGATGCACCGGTAATTCAACATTCATTCAGCCATAAAAAATGACAGTCGTAATAGACCTTATTCATTAAAAACCCATCCTACGCGCAAAAAATAAAAGTGATGTAAAAAAAAAAATTTTTAACATTAGCTCTTATGGGAAATGTGATCGCCAGAGCAGAAATTTGCATTTTTTGTAATTTTCTAGATATCTTTCATTGTATACGTGAGCAGTTTTGACGATAGAATATTTTTTACATCTTTTTTGATATTTTTATCATGATAAACATGGCCAAGATTTCTGATAATCGTTCATTAAAATTTTAATGAGCGCGGTGTTTCCGATGACGTCATTCTCACTAGACCATGAAATTCTGCCACGCGCCGTGCTCTGTGGAATATGCGCTGCAAATGCGGCCCTAATGTCGCTTTGGGTCCGTGTCCGTCCGGTACTGGAAGCGTTTAACATTGACAATCTATAACCCGTACCATTTCTATCACGTTTGTTTACTGGTTTTACGCATTTATACCTGTACAGCTAGCAATCATTTACTGAAGGCATGCTGACGTGTTATTTAAACTACCGGTACCGTACCAAGGCTGCAAGAGGTGAAAACTAAATTATTTAGTAAATACTGAAATAGGCCTACGAACAAAAATGTTGGCCATCTTGCCAATAGGCAGGACAAGTTGTACGGTACCGATATACAAAAAAGATGAATATCTCCAACCTATAATGGTACAATACCGGTCTCGTAACTAGGTTAAAAGACATGACTGAATACGAGAGGGAGATTTCGTCAACCAGAATACAAGCATTGAATCAATAAAAATCATATACAAAACACACAGTTATTCGGTATAGACTGGGGAGCGATACGACCATCACAGTCAGCTCCCCCCTGCCCCCCATGTTTGCTATCAAGATTAACAGTTAATTAAGATGTTTTAACAAAAACTCCTCGGAGGAAGGGTTGACTAAGTTACGGAATATTTTTGGATTCGGTTAAAAATGTAGTCCATTCTTAAACACTGCTTTTTTTGCAGATTTTCACTTAGTGGACACTTAGCAAGTACGACAGTTAATTTATAAAAAAAATTGTAAATTAATAACAAATCAGTAGAAGTCAGCTCGGGTAGCCTATTCAAACATGTGATGATTGAAGTGAGAACAAAATTTGAAGTCACGTTTAGGATATTACAACAATGAAAAAGGTACATTGGAATCAGTCAAGCTTCAAATGCTAAAAAAGAATATGAAATATGAAAAGAATATGCGAAATGAAGATTGAAGTTTCCATCTGAGACTTTGGAAGACGCTAAAACCTTATAGACTTGATAGTGTGGAAAGCCTTCTCACAATGCAGTAATAATGCGACATATATTTATAATATCATTATACAGGCTTTAAGTTGAACTATATGTTTAATCAAAATATCTATCTTTGCTAATAAATGCTGAAAACCATTTATTTCAATCTGCTGAGTGATTAGGGCCAGAAATTTGCTGTAGGGACCATCACCAGGGCTGGATGTTGAACTATATGTTTAATCAAAATAACTATCTTTGCTAATAAATGCTGAAAACCATTTATTTCAATCTGCTGAGTGATTAGGGCCAGAAATTTGCTGTAGTGACCATCACCAGGGCTGGATTTACCAATAGGCTAGGCAGGCTGAAACCTAGAGCCTCGAAATTCGGTTTCAAAGTTTGTAATTCATTTGAAAACTTGAAAAGTTTGAACCCTACAAAAAGTATATATATATATCAAGCTTTTCAGAGTAGAAAATTCTGTGTACAACAAGTTTCAACCACATTGTAAACAACCATTATTGCGTCGTTTGCATCATTATAAGGGAAATTATTATTATGCCCATTCTGCTGGAAGTTTCTATGTTAAAGTATGGCTGTAGCGGTTGTTTGATCAAAGAAATTGAAAGCAAAACTGCCTCAAGTAAATTATCATTCTTTTAATTAAGAATTTACACCCATGAATGGGGAGAATGAAAAGTTTAATGCTTTCATATTTTTAAATTTTAATCAATTAAATGTAGTGTTGTTTAGAGAGAAATTCTGAGCTCAAAAATATGAAGGGGCCTCTCATGGTCTAAATCCAGCCCTGAACATCACCAATTTTGGGATAGGTACCGTACATGGTAGGTACCGTCAACATATGAACTGAGTTAGGCCATTGGATTTTGAAAGGTGTACCAGAAATGTACATGGAATTCATGAAATATATAACATCCAATTAAAACCAAAATAGGTCTTTCGTTGAACGCCAGTTGTTGTCCCGGTACAGGTATTCCAGTATTCTGTTATCACAAGCAGTTGGAGCACATATCCCACAGAGCACGGCGCGTTGGCAGAATCTCATGGTCTAGTGAGAATGACGTCATCGGAAACACCGCGCTCATTAAAATTTCAATGAACGATTATTAAAAATCTTGACCATGTTTATCATAAAAAAAAATATCAAAAAAGATGTAAAAAAATATTCTATCTCCAAAACTGCTCACGTATACAATGAAAGATATCTAGAAAATTACATAAAATGCAAATTTCTGCTCTGGTGATCACATTCCCCATAAGAGCTAATGTTAGAAGATATTTTTTTACATCACTTTTTTTTTTTGCGCGTAGGATGGGTTTTTTTAATGAATAAGGTCTATTGCACTCGGTACAAGTGGGCCAGATGAAAGACTTCGGTGGGCCGTACCGTATCCGGCCCGCAGTCCGTAATATGCCCACCCCTGTCCTAGAACATATGTAACTTTGAGTCCTTCTACATCATGACATGGGTTCACTGGTAGTGTACTGGTAACAGTACTTCATTTTTTCATAAACTGAAAATCCAAATAAAGTAAGAATGGCATTTTAGCGTAAGGAAGGCTCCAAATAACCAATGGTTATCAGGCATGCATACATAAAATAAGCATATAATAATGGCTTTTATAATTGATATAATATGTTCAATAAATTTAATAAAACAAGAAGCACAAAAAAAAAATACTCAATCAACAATAATATTATAATGTCTGTCATCTTCCGCAATTAAATCACAAGTGTCCCAATCTTCTTTATGATTGTCTGGATAATAACTCATAAAATCTTCTTGTTCTGCTTGCGATGGTCTCACGACACGAATCGTAACTTTGAGGGTATAACCGAGTAGCATCATTTCAATCTGGAAAAGACATATAAAAGTGGAATTACCGGTAGTAAAAAGTCGTTTGTGTTCTGCTATGAGCAAAGCTTTTAAAAAGATGCTGGTATGTTGATTTTGTTCATGAAATTACAGTAAATTAATAAACTCAAGGTGAGGTATTCAGGACAGGCATTTTCGATTGCAGCTCCCAAGCAAAATGGAAACAAATTAAAATACCTAAATGTAAAATACCAAACTCTCAATATATGGTCATGCCATCCATAACACAGAGAAAGCAAACTACCAATAGCATACACCAGTCTGTCTACAAACTTCCAGTTTAAAATCAAGTTAGAAACAACAACACTAACCTGTTCCAAGCCGCCAGTATCCCCAACAGTATTAAGATGTTGCTTCATTAGTTGTTCTGGCGTCTCACTGGTGTCTCTGGCAAATAACAACATTCCATAATCTGGAATTTCTTTTCCTGCTTTCATACAGTCATGTATCAAAACTGCTGAATAAAGCATCAATAACTTTATTGCTTCGAAAAGGAGTATTTCATCAGAATTTCCAGAATTGAAGTATTTTAACAAGTGCTGTATTCTACTATCATCATCTTCAATTGATTTACATTTTTTCAACTGATTGTTGAAACATTTTAAACATTGTACCATAGTGTCAATTTTCTTCTTTGGCAAAACTTGAAGACGGTTTGCAAATGACCATTGCGCAAGCCAGTTACAGCCATGATTATCAATGAGCTTTTGGGGAATACTCTCAATGTCATCAATTCGATCCCAATTTCGCAAAACGTTTAAATTTTGACTTAAAACTTGAAAACAAGTTGCTCGAAGACCACAGTAGTTGTCTCCACGAATTCTTCGCATTGCTTTGTAGCCAGTTTGCTCTATTATTTTAAAATAGCCCAATTTCATATGCTCGGCCTTAAGGGTTTTGCCATTCCACTCTCTCTCCGAATATTCTAATAAGTCTATACGACCAGAAACACTTTTAGATGACTGTCTATCGATTGTGGTATTATACTCCACGCCATCATGAGAATCATCAAATTCTTGCAGACTTACTCCAGAATCTTCTGCGAGAGCTTCTTGAGATGAATATCCTCCTTTGAAGGACTCAACCGGTTCTTCACTTGATGGTGGAGTTTCTTCCTGATCTGATAATTCTGAGTCGTTCTTATTGTTATTATTATTCGATTTTTCTCCAGATTGTGAGATTTTTAACATATCATGGCTGTTTTTAGTGTTAATTGTAGCAGGAATAGGTTCAGTTGGTTGAGAACTACCTTTTTTCAATTTTGACTTTTTTGGACGTGAATAACACAGGCCATCTGGTTCAACAGAGTCATCAAGTGTAGATGTTCCTGCGACTGATTCCTGCGTTTCACTAATTTCATGATCAATTTTTCCGTTACATCCTCGCTTTCCTCAAATGAAACCATTGCTTCATTTTGTTCAGGTTCCTGAGACAGACTACTGCTTCTTGAAGTCGTAGCAAGATCCTCTTGTATTCTGGCAACCTTTGCGGCAAACTCAGGGTCAGCATCACATTCATTGACCCTGAACATTCTGCCAAAGAGTTGTCTCTCACCCCCTATATTTGACATTTTTATGCTGCTTATCTTTGATAATCAGTTTTACAATGTTTGGAGCACTGAAGCATGTATTCACATTCTATAGACTATATATCAGTATATACAACTGTGAATAGATTGCAAAAATTCCCAATTATTCTCTGATGGACTAGAAATATAACCACGTAATAAATGAAATATGACTGTCAACATTCTGACTAACATGATTTATATCGCACCAGCAAAAAAAATAGAAGGTAATAAATATTGAAATAGCAGCATGGGCACAATATAAATATAATGGGATCACGCTTCAATGATTCTTTGTGTTAGAAGAATGTTACTATTGTGATAGTCTGAAAAAATTTGCAATATCAAATGACTTTTCAATGTAAGTCTTGGTCATTATCTGAAAGAAAAAACGAGACCAAATAAAAATATGAAAAATCAAAAACCAAATTCTTCACTGAGAAATAACGAACTGATGGGAAATCACGATGGCACTGATCCCAGTGCTATATCTGTATTTCAGTATATTCAAACTTTGGCTCTGGCGCCATTAACAGAATATTGTTTTCTAGTATGACTGCTACTACAAAACATCAGCTAAAATGCAGTTTTGTGAACGCGGGACATGCAACTACAATATACTGATAAAGTCATCAAATTTCAAAATTGGAATTACACCTTAAAATAAATTAAAATATATATATAAAGCTGTAAGGTGAAAAGGATTGATTCTGAGATTTGGATGAAGTATTGGAAAATTATAGATCAGGAAACTTAAATAAATGGTTAGGAGCAGGAACTGAAAACACAAAAATTTTTGATAGCTTCTAACATCAGAACATGATGAGCTTGGTTCAAGATCGAACGAAACTGCAAAACGTCACTACTCCAGTTACTCCTTGGCTTGGGTTCAACTACAAGTTGTTAACCTTGATTTCAACACAATTTTCAAACCCGGCTGCGGGATGAAAAAGCGAAGCATTGATAATCATTAGGAAGAAAATGAAAATGATGATCTGCACTGTTGTGACTGGTCTATTAGTGTCAGACTGTATTAGGATAAAAAAAGGTTCTTCAATAATACTAAAGTAAATAGTAAAGCTAGACTATGTTTACTGAAATTTTATAGATGAGCTGACTAAAATGAAGCGAACAATGAATGTGTTTTCATTGCCACACTCTTAAAATGAAATTTTTGTAGAAAACCAGGCTCACCGCTTCATGAAAATCATTGAAACACCTGTAATACAGCAACGCTTGACCGTTGACCACTGTAAATCTATCAGAAAATTATTCTACAGTTTTCAATTGATTTCCACGCGGAAGTGATTAATCCTACGCAGAATTAATTTTCCAAAATAATAAAACTCAAGCTTAAAAATATACAGTATTTGATCTCATTAAGCTGATACTGGTAAATGATTATCAGTACACATGCAATTAACATAATGTAGACGCTCGAAAGGATATAAGAATAGATCTGCACGATGTGGAAAATAAAAATACCCTATTACGGGGGAACACCCATGTCACTGAAAAAATACTTTTAGGACGATAGTTATAGAATGTATATGTCCAATAGAAACCTACTGAAATGGCTATGTCCCTTCTAAAATCGCGATCCCGATATGTTTCCACTAAAACGACCATGTCCACACAAAAACAGCGATGTCCCTATTGATATGTCTTTACTAAAATGACTATGTCCGCTATGTCCCTACTAAAATGGCTATGTCTGATATGTCCTTACTAAAATATCTATGTCCCTTCTAAAATGACGATCCCGATATGTTCTTACTTAAACGACTATGTCCGCTATGGCACTACTAAAAAGGTTATGTCCTTCTAAAATCGCGAACCTGATATGTTCCTACTAAAATAGCTATATCCCCACTGAAATAGCTATGCCACTACAAAGTACAAAAATGTTTTTGTCCGTATTAAAATGGCGATGTTCCAACTAAAATGACTATGTTCATACTAAAATGGCTATGTCCTTACTAAAATCGCGATCCCGAGTTGTCCCTTCTGAAAGGGCTATGTCCTTACTAAAATGACTATGTCCCTTCCAAAATCGCGATCCCCAATATGTTCCTACCTAAATGGCTATGTCCGTTATGTCACTGCTAAAATGGGACATAGCAACCATCGCTGGTTTAGTATGGGCATAACGGTCACGGCCATTTTATTAGCAACATATCAGTTTCCCGATTTTAAAAGAGACGTAGCCAATTTAATAGGGACATAGCCATTTTAGTAGGGACATAGCCATTTTAGTAGGAACATAGCCATTTTAGTAGGGACATAACCAATTCAGAAGGGATATATATATCTATTTTCTAACTACCCTTTTTAAGATAGGACAGGATTTACATATTTATCCCGTGGTAGAGGAAAGCCGCTAAAACAGCTTATTCATATGATGAACCACGACCTCTCGTCCGGTTACCAGTTTATGTCAGGTGAGGAATTAGTTAGTCAGTTATTTGTTTTCGGAAGCATAGACTTGCTGGTGGAGGAAGCCGTATTATATTACCATATTATATTCACACTCGGAGGTTTGAGATGAAATTCATTCCGAATATGATCCGCAATGTGCCGACAACTTTTGACAATAGTTCTAATATGAACCTTCATATATCGATGAAAAATCAGATTTTTCTCATATTTGATGTGAACTCAATGATTCGAGGCCAAATTGGAATATGATCCGCAAAATGCCGACCAATTTTATTAGTAATACTGAATAGTATTTGCAGCTGGAAGTCTCATATATAAGAATGGCAGGTAACAAAGCGAGTTTCTTATATTTGGTGCGAACTCGAGAATCAAAAGCCTTAGTCATGGCCAAGTTTATTTTTTTCGTCCGATAAAAAATTGCATACGAAATTGAGGGAAAATAAATAAAATTCGACGCACTTTTCACTGGGGAGGGAAGCAGCGGGCATTCAAATCTGGTGTAAAATATTAGCGCTTGAGCCGTAGCGATAAGCCAAATAAATAACGTTGGTAATCTTTACAGCCCAAGTAGTGACTTCTACAACCCAGTGTCCAAAGCGGGGGCCTCCACCGGGATAATTTTACCATGTGGTGTAAAATTCATTCCACCAATTAACAAAAAGTTTTCACAGTAATTCTGATTAGTATACTTAGTCACGAGTGTGTTTTTATAAGTTATATATATTTTATTTGAATGGCCCTAGAATCAAAAGTCTTATTCATAGTCAAGTTTATTTTTTCCGTCCTGTAAAAATTTGCATACAAAATTGTGGAAAACTAAATAAAATTCAAAGCATACTATCATTAGGGAAGAAAACAGAAGGAAATCAAGCCTAGTTTAAAAAAAATACCCGCGCTCAAACCGTATCGATAAGCCAAATAATAACGTTGGTAATCTTTACAGTAGGAGTAGGACTTCTGGAGACTAGTATCTAAAGCAAGGCCCTAGAGATAAATTGACCATATATATGGTGTAAATTTCATTCCCGTACATGACTGAATGTGGCCGTTAACCACATAGCGGATTGTGTCGTCACTGTCGTGCATTATATATATTGGTTATGCAATGGTAGGCCACAAATTTTTTAATATATATTGGATATATAGGAATGAATGATTTCAAATTCTATATTCAATCGCTTCAAACTATCGGAAAACTAAATCTAGATTAATCGTGTCTTGTAGGTAGAGTACGTTAGGGATTGCTCAGGTGAATTATGGAAAAAGTAAGTTTGCTGAAGTCTTATCGAAGAATTCTGAACTGCGCAAAAATACATGTTGCGAAATGGTCGTTTTGTTTTCAGACAAAACTAAAAATATGAAATTGAATCATGTCCGGACTTTAATTTCGATTTTTTAACTCTATGTCCTACATGACAAGGCATTTTATGATGAAATAACAATGAAGTCGATGATTCGTAAGATCGAGTTTGTGGCAATTAAAGCTAAAAATAGTTCATTGTTTCCGTAAATTGTCTTGTCATTATGTAAAAATATCTTTCTTACCATAAAATCACGCAGCTCTAAACTATATCGGGGACAACGTGAAATTATTCGCGTTTATAAAGCCTTTTTATTTTATTTATTTAGTACGCGTGTCCTGTTGTCACAAACCCGCATTTGCTCTGTGCCTCTGATCTCATATGAGAAATATGCTACTTGAGATTCTGGGAGTGACTAAGCACTTTTAGAAACCAATTGAGTATCTGTGTACGAAAGCAATATGCTTTAAGTTCACGTTATTTCGATGATGATTCGAAGACGGAACAAAAAAAAATTGCTAAAAAACGAAACCATGTAGTGGCTATTTGAGGTTATTTTCTAAAACATTCTGAGAAAAATTACTAGATTTAATAGATATTACTTACTACATAAATAATTTGATGAATGCATTTAATAAGTAATAAATTAGTTGTGATTTGGTAGAAATGCATTTTTTCCGAAACATTGCAACCAAATTTTGAATACAGAAATCGATTTCATATCGTTGTTCAATGAAAAAGTAGATTTAAAAAAAAAATCTTAGTATTGAAAAAAGTCAATGTTTTCAGACTTTAATCAAGATTTCCTGTAGGTGAAGTGTTCCCAATAATTTCCGAACTTGCTTTAAATTTTTGAGTGATGTCGAAAATGGAATAGAAATTGAAGTTTTGAATAAAAAATATGAAAACATATTTTGAATGACGTTAAAAAGGTGCATTGATTGAACGTCATATAAGTAGTTAAGAAAGAAAGACTGTTTGCAGTATTGTAGTTATCACACAAAGTAAAATAGCTCTACCTTAGCTGTTAGGCCATATTTTATCTTTTTTCACTATTACCAATGACTTCTTCTTGACGATAAAGCATCTTTTAAGTTAAGAGGTTGGTTTTGTGTAAATAAAAATGGTTTAATATCGATTAATACTAAACATAATACAAATATTTAAAAATTATAATATCCATTACTTGGGATATTCACCATCGCATTGTTTAACTTTCCACATGGCTAACGACTTTCGCTATGCAACCTATCTATACTGATAAAGAAATTTTTTAAATTTTTTGCTTAAACGTCACAAATGATGGCGTATGGTTAATTAATATCTTAAAAATTAGAAACCTGAGATAATGAGTTTGTAACATCAGTGGGACATTTTTATCTCTTATTTGCTTCAAGCATCAAGATGGGATCAATCAATCTAGACGCTGCATATGTGACAAGTTACAAATTCTTGTAAAAATATTTCCATTCAGCAAAATCTACGAATTTCGGCCACGCCATCGCGAAGTACCGGAATTGCGTCATATACCAAATCTTAAAATGTTTGTATCGTATAATAGAAGCTTTTTATCGCCATGTATACACAAAATAATGGGTTGACGTTGTCACGTACAGAAAATGTTCACTTAGCACAAATTCAAATATCAAATTTAGGTGACATGCTATGTTTTGGTAATTGGCGATCCGTGTGTAGCCAGGTGTCTATAAACAGGATACAAACCACTGAAACGATCTTATATTTCAAGACATTCTTTAACAAGAAGATATCGATCATGTCGCCCAGCTCGTGACCGTCATTTTGATGAATATATATATATATATATTATTTTTTGAGCGAGATAAATCGATTTGCTTGTTCTTTATAAACACAACTTCACTTTGAAAAATGTTATAATCCGTTATTTTATGATAATTGGCGATCCCTAACTAGACTAACGAAACGTCTGTAAGCAGGATGCAAGTGCCGCATACTAACCACTAAAATGATTTTGTCAAGTCATTCTTAAGTCGGGCTCGTGACCGCCATTTTGGTAATTGTGTATGATTTTCATTGTTATTATTGAGAAGAATAAAAAATAAATTTTTTTTAAAACTCAACGTCACCGCAAAAAATATTTTTTACGTATTTGTCCAAAATACGTTTTCATCCAATATTCATATACAGAAAAATGCAGCATGAAAAAGAATCAGATTCGGCACGGTTGGACTATTTATTACAATTATTTTTCAAAGAAATGAGTTGAGTTACCGCTTGTCTGAGGCCATGAATCACAGTGACGAAATAAGGCACACAGAATTCCAATTTTTTTTAGATTGACGTTTTATATAAATTTCCTCCCCATTTCATGACGCCACTATGCCACTATGCGTTTTATTTATTCTTCATTTCACTTTCTAAACATTATCTTATTCTTTAAAGAACTGCAGGTCTTGTCACAAACAATAAGGGGTTTATATTGTTGCTCCTGAATGTGACTTTACTTCGTTTATTATTATTATTTATCAAATGATTGAAAAACAAAACCATACTCATGCAGAATCTCGGTAAAATTTCAACGAAAGAATCTACCAAAAGAAAATTGAAGAAATTTTATGAGCATACCTGTCCTGATATATTTGCATCGATTTTTAGAACATGCAGAATAATATTATTCTCATTATATCCCGGCTTTTTCATTGTTTCAGCCACAAGTTACAAAATATTGCAGGTAATTCTACGGACGAAGTATTAGTGTTCAAATGCTTGCAGGTTATACCGATGGTGATAAGAGCGGAAAAGTGACATAATATTAGAAAAACGTAATTGTATTATTTATATTTGATAAAAATTGAAACAAAAAGATCAACGGGAAATATTGAAGTTTTTGGGAAAAGGTTTTCATCATGTAATCAGTATTTCATATTCACCGTTTGACTCTTCCGGTAAGGCAACTTCCGGTAACGCAATGACGGGGATCTTTTCATTCAAATATTTTGATATAACACCCAACACTAGAATCACAAATTTAGGAATCCACGACTTTAGGAATCTAAAATTTTGACTTCAACTTCTGCATCAGCAAATTCCATATTACTAATATATCAACTTATGTAAATATAAATATCACGAAAGTGAGCAAAACCACGTCAGACAACGCGCTTACGTATAAAAATTTAGTTTACATAATAAACACAACTCCGCTATCGGCTTCAAATCTTCAAAATACGTTGCAGAAAATAGAAGTGAAAAACGTTTTGCAAAATCATGCAGAGTCAGGTAGAAATTATGATTGACTCGACGATAACAAAATACCTAGTCGACCATTTTGTTTCTAAGCGTATTCAACGAGTGGGTTTAGAACTGGATTCTAATCTTTTCGAACGCCAAACAAGTTTATCCGGATTGGTGTGTGTCACAAATAATTTTTAAAACTGCCAGTTTTTTAATGGACAAAAGAACATACCTGCGAACAATTTCGAACCATAAACTTAGTACATCCACCAACCGTAAAAAATTCACATCAGAGTTTTCAACGAAGAAGCTGGCTTTTAGTTTTTGTAAAAATAGAAAATTAACATCGCCCTATTTGCAATTGATGTATTCATATACTATTGCTTCTGTTTCAACGTGAATTCGCTCATCTTTGGCGATAGGGAGGCAGCCATGAAGCGATAAAGTCATTATACAGTTTGTTGTCGGCTGCAATTGAGTAGAAATTGGAGGTAAAGAAATATATTTCGCTTAGATTGAATAACTTTTTATCTTCAATGATGAACCCTTTTCTGATGCAATATTACCAATTTATTCAGATATGATTTCTCGTAATTTTGACATTGAAAACTCAAAACAACACGTAACTTCGTGATGTGAGACAGTAGGTTGATATTGGATTTTAAATCAGACTTGAAATTTTTCTAAAATTCACGAACAAAATAAAAATGGAAATAATTTGTTAGAAAATTTTCTCCCGTTTAAGAAATTTGTTTTCTGATCTTTTCATGAATGTTACAAGTATGACACGATCGTGCAAGTAAAATATTGCTCGGAGGCAAATATCTTACGCAATTGATAATTTGACAAGTCATGGTATCTGTATTTATACCAGCGTAAAAAATGAAAATGGCAGACAAATGATTTGGTCTTTGGTGCGTATAGTTTCATCTTGAAAACCATAGAAACGTTTGCATTGAACTTCCTTCCCCATAAATTCAAAGCTTGAAAATCTTACAAATGTAAAATTTTAGTTCGAGGACAAATTTCAACTCAAAAGCAGTCTTCATTTACGTTTTTATCCTAAAAAGCCTATAGCTATACCATTCAATCGAAATTTTTGAAAGTGAATTATCAAAAATATAATATTTCTGTAGTTGTATGTACCAAGGCTGAAATTATATTACAACTGTTGTTTTTCTTCAGATTTTTGAGTTGCTATTTAAATTTCACGACATAAACCACCTAAAATGGAAAACATTGTTAAAAACGACATGGACTTGCTGAGACCAAACGACGGAGACGTCTATCTTGTTGCTTATCCTAAAGCAGGTATGTTAATTTGCGCATTTCCCTTTTCTAAACATTGGAGCTACTCCATGGCTTGATCAAAAAAAGTAAAATATTAGATATCTGTCCAGCAATTGCCATTCAAATATGGAACCAGGCTTCGTGGAATATCTTCATACAGTGGTTGAATTATACTCAAACCGTATAATAAACTTTACAGCTTTTTACCCAGCGCTTGTATTTATTTCAGGTGTGACTTGGATGACTGAAATAGTGACAGCAATTTACCGAGAATACGCTCTCGAGAATCCCAACTGTGCTCCTGAATTTGACAACGCTGTGAGAGCTCATGCTTTCTGTGAAGTCTGTCCAATGTCTCGACGAGTCTCAGGTGGCAAAAATAAAAAAGTGATTGGCTACGATGCCAATGGAAACGAAATATTTGAAAATGAAAATGAAAAGAGGCGACGCATTGTCAGTCTTCATTTTCCGGCCAATAGAATGAAAAAAATGATGCCAGATGCTTTCAATAATGCTAACGTTAAGGTAGGTTCTTGATTGTTACTGAGTACTGAAATGTTTCTAAATATTTGCATTAGATATTTAATAGGTATGACAAAAAAAAACCGAAACGAAAAAAATTGATTCCGTTGCCGGAAATTCCAAAGAAATGAACAAAACAATTTGTGTATTTAAGCAAGTTAGAGAAACATATCTTTTTTTCAAAAATCGTTTTACCAGATGATATATATACATATACAGATGATATACATCGCTAGAAATCCGAAAGATATCGCCGTTTCTTATTATCACTTCCATTGTATGAATGATGCTTTACCAACACCAAATTCCTGGCAAGAATTTCTGGATGATTTTACAAATGGATCTGGTAAGTTATTCACCATGTAAAATTATTATAAATAAACTTACAAAGATCGTTATATGAGGAAAGCTACCTAAAAATGGAATACCACGGGAAAATTGGACTGCAGCTTCGGCCATTCATTTATAACGCAAATTTCGCAGAATCCTATTATTATTATTTAAGCGGTGTTGACCATAATAGTTAATTTAACTTTATATTTCACAGTGAGATGGGGATCCTGGTTCGATCACGTTCGTGGTTGGTGGAGAAAACATGAAGAAATGATTTCAGAAAATAAATCACAGTTACTCTGGCTCACGTTTGAATCTTTGAAGAAGGTAAATATATGTTCAATAATAATCGTTGACTTTCTTTCTGAAATTACCAAAAAATTATATTCACCCGAACATAATGTTTCATTTTTTTCCAGGATTTAAAAAGTGAAATGAAAAAAATTTGTAAACATCTCGGACTTGAGTTATCAGAGGAAGGATTGGATATGGCGGTTAAACGATGTACATTTGCATCTATGAAAGCAGATCCAAACAGAAATCACAGCAAAAACAAGATTTTCAAAGGAGATTTCTTGAGGAAAGGTTGGTTAAAACAGTATTGTTACGTTAGCTAAGTTCATTTCTGAAGGCGTAAAAAATAAATTAATTGTATGTTTCTCTCCATATTTGTGCTCGACCCACCATTACACACACAGATCCTCTGTAATAAAATGACATTGCATTTCCATTGCTGATAACATTGTATTATTCAGGCAAAGTTGGTGATTGGAAAAGCAAGTTCATAGACGAACAAAACGTGCAATTCAATTCAGCTTTGGTGGATCATTTGAAAGAGGATTTTTCAACATTAACCAGAAACTTTACTGTTGGGGAAAGAATTCAATAATTTCCAGGAATATTTGTTTTGTGAATGCAATTTTAAAAAGATTTACATTGTATTTTTACATGAATAATGTGTATATTATTTATTTGTTACATTACTGTGCTATTCACCTCGCTTTCATATTCATACTATGACGACGCAGATACATATGCCTGCTCATTTGGTATTTTACGCTGTTAAGCTTTGATTTCTATATTCACAATTCCTATATATATTTGTTTGCAATAAATATTGATAAATATCTTATTATTTCGTATCGTTATACTAATTCGTTACAAACCTAATTTTTCAACGTTTTATAGAAAAATCGTTGGGTGCGCTGATGCATTGTTAGTCCTGAATATGTGGTCGTTTCCAGGAATTTATTTGAATTTGCAGATACAAACTTAGTGACGTGTAGTGTGTGACCTTGAGGCTTGAGCAGTCACGTTATAATTAAAAATTGCGTACCTTGTGGCGATTCCGTATTCCTTGGCGTAAGTTCAAATATGTTTCAGCTGTATCGTCTAAACCAGTGGTTCTCAACCTTTTTCTCGCGCGGCCCACTTGAGAACCAGTGGTCTAAACCAATCTGAATGAAATTTAGCAAATGATTACACTGTCACCTTAGTAATGTGCATTTCACGCATAGTCCGGATTTGTGTCTCGCAATGAAGCAAAAAAAGACACGGCGATCATGGGTGAATTTACAATCTAAATTTAGTCACCATTTGTTCCAATTTTCTCGTTAACTGAGTCGAAAATTAGAGTTCCGAGAGTTATACCTCTCGCGGAAGAAAATACTTCTCCGAATCTATCTTTCACCTCGGTACTTCATAAGCTGGAGAATCCGTAGGAATTTTAGTGAAAATGCTTATTAGCCACAGTAAAAGCGCTCCCTCTCGCGCAAGAATTCCGCAGGGTTCAAATGAACTGACACTTTCGGTAACCTCTGTGTCTGCTGCATGCTAATATTTTACTTACTTTATGCTTTTTAATTGACTGATTGTGATTTAAACTAAATTTTATATATCTCATGTTTGTCTTATCATTTATTGTCATTAGAGACACTGAACCGAAAATTAAAGTTCCGAAAATACTCTCACTCTCGGAAGAAAAAATTTTTTCGAACGAGCTATCTTTGACCTCGGTACTCCATAACATGAGGAATCCGTCGGAATTTCAGTGAGAATGCTTATTCGCCACAGTAGAAAGCGCTACATGTCTCGCAAGAATGCCGAAGAGACGCGCAGCGTTAAAACGAACTGATAGTTTCGGTGGTTTCGGTAACCTCTGTGTTCCCTGCACCCTGCGTTACAGTTCTGCAAATGTAGTAGCGGAATGTTGTAGTGGACTACACTTCACTACAGTATAGTGGAATCCGGCAATATTAGAAAATTTCCTGTTTAAATCGCACGTTGATGAAAGTGAGGAGGATTGGATCAGGTTTGGATTTTTTATTTTGTCTTGACACGGGAAAATAAACTGTGTTCGTATTAGTAATATATACTACTGATTACGCTTCACCACGAACAATAAAATACGTATGGGATTGGGAGAAGCCTCGTCACTCGGGCCCCACCCCACAGCAATTTGCCAATTTCCGCCATTACCCGTTTGAAACCCTGAAATGGTGCGGGCCCCAGCCCCCAAGCATTGGTGGTTCTGGTGTGGACTATCTGACACTGAATTTCAATTCACCCTGTCTCGTCTAGGAGGCTTTTACGCGTTTTAACTTGTTTTTTTCTTATGTAAAGTTATTTCGTATTTTATGCACATTAATATAATTTTCAGAATTTTACAAAAGTGCGCTGAAATCAAAATTCAATTGTGCATATATATTCATATTTTTTATTATTTTTTATTTCTCTCCAGGGTCGGCCAGTCGGTCTGGACTATACGTAAAATTCACGTTACCATGCAATTTACTTGCTATATATAACTGAATAGTTTCTAAAGCCAAAATTATGTCGCAACCGGGACCCCACATAGCAATGAAAATTCAAAGCTCAAAACACGGTAATAACTTTAACCTGGCTTGTATTAAAACTATCGATTCCTAATAATTTCAGAAAAGGGTCTAAAACAGTGTTTCCCAACCCGAGTCCGCGGTCTCAAATGAGTCCGCGGAGCGGTTTTAATAAGTCCGCAACGAGCCAGAAATTCACTGCGAGTCGCAAACGTTTTTGCGAAACTTAACCATCAGCCACGATTTACGTTAGAATTTACATAAAACATAAAAAGAAAGTTTATTCATATAACATTAATCGAGTCAATAATTTCTGGATACTGAATGAGTAGGGCTTGGCATATATTCAAATATTCAACTATTAGAATAGCAAGTTAATATTCGAGAATTTGGTAACAGGTGACGCGACAGGTCACTTGCGCGTCGTTTAATCAAACGATTGGATTTAGTCGTTGTTGTTCGAGGAATAATTTTTAACATAATAATTAACCTAAATTTTCTAAATTGAAAAGCAGCAATACAAAATACTGAAAATAAAACTGAAAACACCCTAAGTTTTTTAAAAACGCTTTTTTAGACATGTTGCAAATGCAAAATTTGGGGAGCTACCGTAGTATTCGTATCAGGGCATTTCCCTCAGAATTCTTTGCTTTTCTGCTGGATCCGCAACCTACGGCCCGCGGAGCAATATAATCAGACCAGCGATGCTTCTCTGAATTATAGTAACAAAACAGCTGTTTTTACGATTATGTTCTTTACGTGACAGAATTTATTTTGCGGCACGTTTAGACTAAATTATATCATAACCGATCAAGTATATAATTCACAATTACTCGTTGAATGAGCCTATAAATTAATTATAATTAGGCATTCAATGGCAACAAAACGCAGAAAAATTGAACGCTAAGTGCAATTGGTTCAATATTTAAATGGTCAGTCTTCGGGCGCTGCTTAAAATTTAACTTCTGATCTGTATGAAAAAATGTGATTCATTGGCCATACGCCCGGCTTTCAACTTTCCAAAAATATGCGCGGCCAACCAATGACTTGCAACCTTTAATTTTGGCCTGCGAGCGACAAAATGTTGCCGACTTCTGGCTTTGCTGTTGTACGAACAGCTCAGATTTGTCGAATTCACAAAAATACGAATCAAAACAAAATATAATCGGACACTTTACGACGCATTTTTGTGTCCACGGATTGTCATGTTATTTTCGGGATAGTATTGCTTTTATTTCGTCAACACAACCGCAGATTGAAATGATCACAATTAAATTAATATTAAAGCAAGGCAATGAATATATCTTTTTGATTTACCAATATACTAATTATATTTTTAATAAGTACTAAATCAAGTTGTACTCTCTAGAAATTTATAGCAGAAATTTAACTTCTGATCTGTGTGAAAAAATGTGATTCATTGGCCATACGCCCGGCTTTTAACTTTCTAAAAATATGCGCGGCCCACCAATGACTTGCAACCTTTAATTTTGGCCTGCGAGCGACAAAATGTTGCCGACTCCTGGCTTTACTGTTGTACGAACAGCTCATATTTGTCGAATTCACAAAAATATGAATCATGAAAAAATATATTCGGGCACTTTACCACGCATTTTTGGGCCACGGATTGTCATAATATTTTCTGAATAGTATTGCTTTCATTTCGTCAACACAACCGCAGATTAAAATGACCACAATTAAATTAATATTAATACAAGACGATAAATATTTTTTTATTTTTATTTACTAATATACTAATTATATTTTCAATAAGTACTAAATCAAGTTGTACAACGGCGATAACAAATTCGCAAGATCGCAAATAATTTATATCAAAACTAAATATAACCGGGCAATATATTCTCACATTATTATGTTCGCAGATTGCCGTGGCATTTAAAAGAAGTAATGCTTTCATCTTCTCATAAGTCAACGCAACCGCGAGTGACCATGAACAAAATTAAATTAAAATAAGAACACATTTTAAATTATTGTCGTTGTCAAGGATTGAATATTGGGCGACAGAAAAGGCCATTTATACACTAAAGAAGTCGGCCCTTCTAACAAAGGCGTAATTGCGTAGCATTTCCGATTTTGAAATTCGGTAAAATTCTGTTGTGTTTGGTTTTATTCCTTCTTCACACAGAGTACGGTTGAGTACACGTACGGTTGAGTCCGCAGAGGTTTTCGCCAGTGAGAAAATAGTCCGCGACCAAAAAAGGTTGGGAAACGCTGGTGTAAAACTTTATCTCGATGATCACAAAAATGCGATTTTCATAACAAACGATAAGTCAAATTTCAATGTGTTGATTCAAATTATTCATGAAAACAACCATATCCGCTGGCCGATTACGGCTTCTTCCACCATCAAGTCCATGCTTCCGAAAACAAATGACTGGCTAACTAAAATCATATACCTGACTTGGACTGGTAACCGGCCGAGAGAACGTGGTTCGACATAAGATTAAGCCATATCATCGGCTTTCCTCTCCCCCGGGATAAATATGTAAATCCTATCCTATCCATATTAAAAAAAAGCCTGTCTAACTATATATTACATAATGCATTGTGGGCTAAAATGGCAACAACTCAGTATAAAGATACGACAACATTATGATTTATCAACCTTTGATGCAGCCAATCACATGTATTTAGAAATATAGAAATGAAAGCTTAATAGCATAATATTCAAACTAAACAGGCACATATGTTCTGCGTCGTCAGTCGTACAAACATGAAAGCGAAATATACAACACAGCATTGTATCAAATAAATAACATATATATATATGCATTATACGTGTAAAAATTCAATGTAAATCTTTACAAAATGTTATTCACAAAAATTATTCTTGCAAATTATTTAATTCTTTCTCCCACAGTAAAATTTCTGGTTAATGTTGAAAAATCTTCTTTCAAATGATTCGCCAAGGCTAAATTGAATTGTGTGTTTTGTTCGTCTGTGAACTTGCTTTTCCAATCACCAACTTTGCCTGAATAATAAAATGTTATCAGCAATGAAATTGCAAAATTATTTTATCACAGAAGAATTGTGTGTGTAATGGTGGGTCGAGCACAACTATGGAAACATACCAATTAATTTATTTATTGCGCCTTCAAAATGAACCTAGCCAACGTAACAATACTGTTTTAACCAACCTTTTCTCAAGAAATCCCCTTTGAAAATCTTGTTTTTGCTGTGATTCCTGTTTGGATCTGCTTTCATAGATGCAAATGTACATCGTTTAACCGCCATATCCAATCCTTCCTCTGATAACTCAAGTCCAAGATGTTCACAAATTTTTCTCATTTCACTTTTTAAATCCTGATAAAGTTAAAACATCATGTTCATGTGAATTCATTTTTGCAACTTCTCGAATAAATGATTACACAAATATTTACCTTCTTCAAAGATTCAAACGTGAGCCAGAGTAACTGTGATTTATTTTCTGAAATCATTTCTTCATGTTTTCTCCACCAACCACGAACGTGATCGAACCAGGATCCCCATCTCACTGTGAAATATAAAGTTAAATTAATTTATGAATCCACCACTTCTTGGATAATATTAAGATTCTGCGAAATTTCGTATAAAATGAATGGCCGAAGCTGCAGAGTCCAGTTGTAAATATTTTTTAATTAATACGTGGTCGTCGTTGAAATAAATGATTTTTAAGATGGCATTCTCCGCGATTTTTGTAACCGTATTTATATTAACACTCACCAGATCCATTTGTAAAATCATCTAGAAATTCTTGCCAGGAATTGGGTGTTGGTAAAACATCATTCATACAATGGAAGTGGTAATAAGAAACGGCGATGTCTTTTGGATTTCTAGCGATGTATATCATCTGATTGAATACGAGAAAACAATGATGATAGAACGATATTTGAAAAAAGAACTATTTTTCTAACTTGCCTAAATACACAAGTTGTTTCGTTCATTTCTTTGAAATATCTAATACCGAAATCAATTTTTCGTTTCTGAAATATTTTAATGATGGTCAAATACCAATATTTCGAAACATTTCAGTATTCAGTATCAATCAACAACCTACCTTAACGTTAGCATTATTGAAAGCATCTGGCATCATTTTTCCCATTCTTTCGGCCGGAAAATGGAGACTGACAATACGTCGCCTCTTTTCATATTCATTTTCAAATATTTCGTTTCCATTGGCATCGTAGCCAATAACTTTTTTATTTTTGTCACCTGAGACTCGTCGAGACATTGGACAGACTTCACAGAAAGCATGAGCTCTCACAGCGTTGTCAAATTCAGAAGCACAGTTGAGATTCTCGAGAGCGTATTCTCGGTAAATTGCTGTCACTATTTCAGTCATCCAAGTCACACCTGAAATAAATACAATCGCTTGGTTAAATAAAGTATATTATACGGTTTGATTATTCAACCATTGCGTGAAGATATTTCATAAAGCCTGGTTCTATATTTGAATTGGAATTGCCGGATAGATCTCCAATCTTTTTACAACTTTTTCGTATCAAGCCATGAAGTAGTTGTAGTGTTTAGAAACATAAATACACTTATTAACATACCTGCTTTAGGATAAGCAACAAGATAAACGTCTCCGTCATTTGGTCTCAGCAAGTCCATGTCGTTTTTGACAATGTTTTCCATTTTAAGTGGTTTATGTGATAAAATGTAAATAGCAACCTGAATTTCTGTGTACAGAAATGATTGCAAAGTAAGTTTTAGTTTTGGAACAACTAAGCTTATTTCTTTAGCTTTTTATTATTTTTCTTTTTAACATCTATATTGTATATGTAGATAGATGGTGGTTCGCCTGTAGACTTTGTGAACCAAAACGTGAATAGCAATGGATTATTTTGGTTTAAACTAAAACCATAATTTTACAATTGCCATATGTTCAAGCATTTACTTTTTAAAAAGGTTATTTCAAAATTTTTCATGCTTTCCAATGTTGTACCTACGTACCAAATCATCTGTCTGCCATCTTCGTTTTTCCCGCGGTATAAATACAGATACCATGACTCGTCAAATTGAAGATTGCGTAAGATATTTGCCTCCGAGCAATATTTCACTTGCACGATCGTAACATACTTGTAACATTCATGGAAAGATCAGAAAACAAATTTCATGAACGGGAGAAAATTTTCTAACAAGATTGTTTTTTTTTGTTCGTAAATAATAGAAAAATTTCAAGTTTAATGTAAAATCCAATATCACGTATCACATCACGAAGTTACGTGTTGTTTTGAGTTTTCAACGTCAAAATTACGAGAAATCATAATTTGGAATCAGTTAATTGATGATCGAGGTAATATTGCATCAGAAAAGCTTTATCATATCATTATTTCCTTGTTTGATGAAGCTACAAATTCATTTGGTATACACTGTTTCCTACTCAGAGACCAAACTTTATATTAAATCCATACCTTCAGGTTAGCACAAAATGAAAAACATGTATATTCAATCAGAAATATTTTATTCCAATGGACGAAACTGTATGAAAATAAGAGTTGCAAATAAAGCGACAAATTTTCTCGAGTTTTCCAATTGTGCAAAACTAATCTGGCTCCCTTCAAAATTGGAGTGCAATCGTGTTAAAATGCCAACCCTGTAATTTATTTTTTACTGTTGAACATAAGACGATTACGTCGGAACACTGTACGCTCAAATTCTTTTGTCAATAAAAAATTGCAATTTCATAGAGTAAACTTGATGTGCAAGTGCAACCGTAATAAAATACTTAACAAAGGCTCTTTTTGGTATCGAATTTAACTATAACGTTCAACTCGATCATTGAGCATGCTAAGAAACAAAATGGCAACTAATGATTTTGTTGTCGTCGAGTGAATCGGAATTTCGACTGACTCTGCATGATTTTGCAAAACGTTTTTCACTTTTGATCTATTTGTCAATTTTGATGACGTGTATTCAGGATTAGATGGGCAATTAGATAAAGTTGTGTCGATTAAATAACAAATCCTTTTTGAAGCGTTTTTCTATGATGTGGTTTTACTTATTTCCGTACTAAATATAAGTTATCATTACTTTACTTGGAAAAGTCAAAATATTTGGAACGGAAAATTGCACATTATAACGCTATGTCCGTTTTTATTTACTTCCCATAAGTTTGTTATGTTGTAATTTACCTAAAATACATTTTGGTGTAACAATGGAAAGTATTTTATTTGTTTCCAAGTATAGTGAACAGGATAATATAACTGTGATTGGCAAATTGTAGAAGTGTTTTGAGATTATTCTCCACAAGTTAAAAACTTGTGTTTTCTGGTTTGTAAGCGAGTGTGTGGAAGAGTAAATGTTGATGTAAATCGATTTTGTTTTCTTATTTCTTTTTTTTTATGAGTAAAGAAGCACATTTCACAATCATACACAAAATAATTTGCTGGCAAGTTTTAAATTAATTATAGGTTTTTTTTTTGCTTTCCTGAAGTCTTTAATCATGCTTTTATCCTTGTTTTTATTATTCATGTATCGCCTCCATTCTGATTACGGAATGAAAATGAACTACTTTGCTAACTGTATTCATATATCACATCGCATTTTCAAAAATTCCAGTTTGGATATTTCATGACAGTTAAAGTAATATGGAGTTTTCATTAGTCTTTTGTTGAAATGTTATTGAGGTATTGAAAAAATATAGTTTGGTTTTTCAATCAATCAATTGGCTAATAGACATGAGTAAGTTGCATTAACGAAAAAACACTCAAACCCTGCTATTGTTTTTGACAATATCATATGCAGACTTGCCATAAAGTCGCGCACCAAGGTAAATATTATATTTCCAAAGATATAAAAACCTTGGAACCATTCGATCTAAGTAATGAAGTAATTTGAGAACAAGTGAGTATTAAGGAGATAGAAAAATGAAATAATGTTAAAATATATGAACACCAATGACGTGCATCGGCAGTGCTACTAAGGCAACAAGTTTTCTGAAAATTCCGACGGGACGCCAAGCGTAACGCAGTAAAACGTGTTCTCTTTACTTGAAGTGAGACAGCAAATTTATGGGCCCCTTGGGAGCTGGAGGAAAGTTAGAAAACACCCTTTCAGCAACTTCAGCCATCTTCAATTGATGAAAATTTGAAGTCGATTGGTCCAACAGTTGCAGGAAAAAGCTACCTTTTGCCAACAACTAGCACAAGATTAAAAACAACAACAATCGATTCGTATGTACATTTCGTGTTCAATAAAGAGTGAACTAAATTCTGCATGATTTAGTGCTCTACTCTACACAAATTAAGTATCTACAATAAAATTAACAAAATATAAAACCATTTTTTGTTTGAATAAATTCAAGTTTACATAATTTCAAAATGAAGTTTATTTCCCCCAGTGATAGCTAGGGCTGGGCATTTCGAATCGAATATTCGAATCGAATAGTGAATTATTCAGAGCTTAATTTCGAATCGCCGCCATCTTGTTTTTTTATTTCCGCTAATGGTCGAGGTGAATTCTCAATTTTTTTTTTAATTGAAGCCATATATTTTCAACGCGATTCTAACATATGACTATACTCTGTAGTGAGTTATTGATAAAACGTGTTTGTTATTAGGTGTGAACGCTCAGTAATCCATGTGAGTGACGTATTCTATTTCTTCAGTAATTCATTTGTTAAGAAGACCAATTACTATAAAAAAAAGTCGCTTACAATTATATATTTCCAAGTATTTGAGATTCGATTCGAAAAAGTTATTCGATTCGATTCTGAAATCACAAGATATTCGAAGATGCCCAGCCCTAGTGATAGCAATAAAAATCGAATTATCAAAATGGCGGACGAAAACCCGGCGGCATGATTAACATCTTAGCTTGTTAGGAATGACTTGACATGATTGTATTCGTGGTTAGTATGCGCATTTGCATCCTGTTTAAAGACATTTAGTTAGTCTAGTTAAGGATCGACAATTACCAAAAAATAACAGATCATGACAATTTTTGAAGTTAGCTCAGTAATATAAATAAAAATAAAATATATTTACCAAAATGACAGTCACGAGCTGGGCGGGATCGATATCTTCTTGTTAGAAATGTGTTGAATTATAAGATCGTTTCAGTGGTTTGCATCCTGTTTATAGACACCTGGCTACACACGGATCGCCAATTATCAATACATAACAAGTCATAACACTCTGATTTTTGAATTTGTGCTAAGTGAACATTTTCTGTACGTGACGGCGTCAGTTTATTCCTTTGTGTATCCATGAGAATTAACTGGCGATAAAAAGATTGTACAATATGATATGAGCATAGATTTAAGATAGAATATGACTCAATTCCGTTATATATGAATACCATCCTCTGAATGACCACATTCTTGGTGAGTATGACTAGTTACATTTTATTTTTGCCTTAAAAAATGGCGATATACGAATAGACAAACACTAATCGCGACGGCGTGGCTGAACTTCGATGTTTTTGCTGAATGGTGATATTTTAACAGGCGGTTGTAACTACCCCGTTTCCCCGTAAATAATACAGTGTCTTATTTCAAATTTCTTTCAAAATATAGCACCAGGGCTTATTTGAGGGGGGGGGGGCTTCTATTTTCACTATTTTCATTTATCAAAAACAAAATATTCGAGATTTTCAAATATACAAAATATGAAAACCGACTTTACTTATAAGAACCATTTACCTATAAATAACGTGTTTTTATTCCAAATAACTGCTATACAGATTATTAATCTTTTGAACGAGTATGAAAGATTTCTTGCTATCGACTAGGTCAAAAAAAAATTATTCCATCGACTAGGTCTTATTTCAGAGGAGGGCTATATTAAAATCATTTTTAAAATTCATGCTAGGTCTGATTTTTTCGTGGAAACACGGTAGTCACATCATATGTTGCGTCTATGCTGATTGATCTCTGATTGATGATTGAAGCAAATAACCGATAAAATGTCATGTTACAAACACACCTGTATCGCACAGGGGAATTTTTTGAAACTTCCTACATTTTTACAGGTGTCACAACAAGTGTTTAATTAAAAAATAAATTAAGTAACTTCACGCATTAAGAATTCTTTAAATTAATGGCACGAGATTACTGACCGTTTTTAGCCACGCTGATCCGATGATACAAATGATGGAGCGATTACGTTGAAAGATTGGTTTCATGTTCGAGTTCGGATCCCCACCGAGCTTTTATAAGTATCACCCACCGATTTTTTATGAACTTTAACCGAAAAACAAAATTCGCCAGTCACGTGCAATGTTATGCAATTTTATCATATTATTTGATACTTAACTATTGTTGTATACATAAACCGATTTTTACAAGGTGCTATCGTTGATAACATATATATTTCCACGAACCGTATTATTAATTTTTTGAACTTCACTTTAGGTTTTTATTTCATTTAGTAAGATTGTACAAAAACTTTAAAATTGGATACAAGGTTGGAAATCATTAGAAATACTTTCTATACAGGAATTCTGCTAAGTTAATTCTGAAGTCATCCACATTTTTCGATACTAACAGAATTTTGGTACTGAAATACATTTTAATCAAATCTCTATTTTCATTGAATAACGATTCAGAAACATTTTTGCATCTGAAATTTTCCTAAAATCTGTTGGAAATGTGTTGCAATTTATTGGAAAAAATGCATTTCCCCCAAATCACAATCGATTTAATAATGTTATATATTTACCTTGTAATAAATATTAAATGTAGTAATTTATAAAGAATGTATTAGGAATCTGACCGATGATTAAATATGTAGACGCTGAGACGAGAAGGAAATTTTTTATCAATAATCCCCCGAAAATCATAACATGAATGGAGCACGACCTGTGGAACAGCTACGGTAACCTGTACCGGACTGCCTTATCTTTTTCCAGATTCTGTGACAATAACAGTTCATGCTTCCAGTTTCAACGTTAATACTTCCAACTTTCGCTAATCGCGATTCAAGAGACCCCCTGACATGCGGTCGCTAACCGCTACAATTAATTTTTAATTTTGTTGACGTCACCACATAAAACGTCGAAGTGAAAAATGAATCCCATGGAGCTTACAGAAACC